CCTTTTAAAAAGCAAGCCAAACAATCCAACCTCAGCAACAATGGAGGGGCAGTTTCAATGCGCGACTACTCTTTTTTTTCAGCCTCGCGATTTTCGAAAGTGCGCAGACGCCGAGAAAATTGTTGCCAATTGCGGAAAATCTATTTATTCTGTCTTTTCTGCTGTGAAGTTTTTACTAATGACAGATTTGAATTATGTGTAAATGTTTTATCAGTGTACAATGATGAACATTGGCATTTGTGAATTTTACGGCGTTTTAATTTCTTTTTATCATGGACTTTAAATTTTGACAGTTGGTATAATGGCAGTGGGACGTTTTCATCGAAAATTTTTTCTTCATGTTTTTATTATTTTCTTAGAACAGTGATTAGTTTTTGTCACTTTGATGAGGCAGGAAGTTTAGTTTTGAGGAGTGGCACTTTTTTTCTTCGAAACGTTTCTGGAAAATGTGAACGGATAAGGGTGCTTGATTGTTGAAAATTTTATGTTTTAGTCGTTTACGGAAAATTTCCACGATAAATTTTTAAGATTTTCTGGACTTTTTATTGTATTATGAAAAGGATTAATAGGGCGGGAGCGAAATGTCCATCCTGGGGGGTCCGTAGAAGAAGAATTCTGAGGGGCCCCCGGGCAATAGGGGTCCTCCTTCGTCGGAACGCCTAAAAACGCGTTTGAAAAAGGTCCCTTTCCGACAGCGCCTGCAAGACGCCGCATAGGCAACCCGTCGGTCACACATGCACCACGTGTTGCCTACATTCCCGATTTCTTCTTTCGGCTATATCTCGAGAACGGCTTGACCGATCGCGATCGGGACAAATTCGTGGCCAGGTTAGGTTAGGTTAGAAACTCATTGAAACTCTCTGAATTCTCCCGGACACCAACACTGGTAGGCGAGGAATGTGACGTCACGTTTGGTTTCACGTGAAAACGGCGATGTTAGTTTGAGCGTGACAGACGATGAAAATTTACAGTCAAACGAATGTGACATACCGCACCGCTTTGTCACATTACTTCGGGTGTGACACGCAATCAGCTGTCGAACTGTCACATTAAATCGAATGTGACACATGGTACCCAAGTACACATGTCGTGTCACATCCAAACGAATGTGACACCCATGTACTGTCACGTTTGTTTGAATGTGACATGCCCACTTTGTCACATTGAGGGGGCTCATACGTGTTAAAAGCACTTTGCCAAAAAAAATTTTGATGTAGACGGATTAAGATTTTACAGTTTCTGTGTTAAAAACCCTTTTAGATAATTGAGTAAGCTTCATTTTGGCTTAATGGAAAGTGACTTTGGACAATTTTTGGAGATTTAGTCGAAACGTTTAATATTTTGGTTCTCGGAAGATTTTGTTCGCATACTTGCTCAGATCTGTGGGGAAAAAGTCAGGGAGACTCATCCCTAGTAGTGTCATAGAATTGACTAGAATGGGCTTTATATCTGCAATAGTTGTTTTCAAGAGAAAAAAAGAAAACCATTTTTTGTTAAAAAATTTGTTTAAACAATTTAAACAATTAATCCATCTTCACCAAAAAAAAATTTTACAAAGTGCTTTTAACATTGTATGAGCCACCTTAATACGAACGTGACACCCCTTATTCTGACAATCATAGCGTGTCACAAAGTTGGCATGTCACATTCAAATGAATGTGACAGTACATGGATGTCACATTCGTTTGGATGTGACACGACATGTGTACAAAGATGCAAAGAAAAACCTTCGTAATACGAGGAAAAACCACGTTCGTATTATGCTTGCGCCATTTTCTTCGTATTATGGGAAATTTCTTTGTAAGACATTTTAGGGCAAACTGACCAAATTAGACATCGCCGGCCTTTCCCTCTCACAGCTCTTGTTGAAGCTCCGTGATTTTAATACCACCTGTAGTGCGCTTAAAGAGCTTTCATTTGAGCCATAGATGAGGTCTCTAGCTGTCATACTTCGTACGGGACGGTCTGTTGAAGGTCTGAAAACGGCCAAAATCAACACTTTTGCTCAATATGATTATCGGGTCGAATGCCTTTCCACTGGACGAGAGTCTTTGCAGCCGTCTGTTTTTTGGTCGCCGCACTAGATACAAGTCTGAACTACGATTCAATGCAAACCAGGCCTATCCAAGTCACTTCGTTGCGTTATAACCTCCTTTTTCCCGATCAAATCGGGAAACACCCCATTTTTCCAACACTGTAAAATTTGCCTTCATTCAACTTCTGACAGCTGTCTGTCACAGAACGAGATATATTTATTTACAGGCGTCTAGACGCATTCATGACCTTCATTTTAAAACGTCACGGGGCATTCTAGCTCGATTCTCGACCAGTGAATGCCCATCCCTAGAGAAAAAATTAGCTGCTCTGGTGCTGAAGATACCTGATTCAAGACTGCGTTGCAGCTGACGCAGAGACTGACGCGGGGCTGATTGAATCCTGATCCACAGGCACAAATCACTGATTGTTGCTGATAATAACGCGACAAAAGTCAACCATAAGCTGTCCAAAAGCTGAATGATGAGCGAAGTTGATCCTTGGCTGAGTCAGCCCACTCGCGGAATGCTGAAGTAAAACTGCACCGGAAGTGCTCACACTGACGCGGAGCTGTGGTGTACTGAACGTAAGCTGAGGGTTGCTGACACAAACTGACAGTGTGGCTGACATGATACTGAAGTTACCCTACGTGCAGCTGGCGTACAACTGACCCGCTTGAGTCTCACTGACGCGGAGCTGCGGTGTACTGAACGTAAGCTGAGGGCTGCTGACACATACTGACTGTGTTGCTGACCTGATACTGAAGATACGCAACGTGCAGCTGCCGTACAACTGACCCGCTTGAGTCTCACTGACGCGGAGCTGCGGTGTACTGAACGTGGGCTGAGGGCTGCTGACACATACTGACTGTGTTGCTGACGTGATACTGAAGATACGCAACGTGCAGCTGCCGTACAACTGACCCGCTTGAGTCTCACTGACGCGGAGCTGCGGTGTACTGAACGTGGGCTGAGGGCTGCTGACACATACTGACTGTGTGGCTGACGTGATACTGAAGATACGCAACGTGCAGCTGTCTGGCAGCTGACCCACTTGGCTCTCACTGACATGGAGCTGCGGTGTACTGAACGTGGGCTGAGGGCTGCTGACACATACTGACTGTGTTGCTGACGTGATACTGAAGATACGCAACGTGCAGCTGCCGTACAACTGACCCGCTTGAGTCTCACTGACGCGGAGCTGCGGTGTACTGAACGTGGGCTGAGGGCTGCTGACACATACTGACTGTGTGGCTGACGTGATACTGAAGATACGCAACGTGCAGCTGCCTGGCAGCTGACCCACTTGGCTCTCACTGACATGGAGCTGCGGTGTACTGAACGTGGGCTGAGGGCTGCTGACACAAACTGACAGTGTGACTGACATGATACTGAAGTTACCCTACGTGCAGCTGGCGTACAACTGACCCGCTTGAGTCTCACTGACGCGGAGCTGCGGTGTACTGAACGCGGGCTGAGGGTTGCTGACACATACTGACTGTGCGGCTGACGTGATACTGAAGTTACCCTACGTGCAGCTGGCGTACAACTGACCCGCTTGAGTCTCACTGACGCGGAGCTGCGGTGTACTGAACGCGGGCTGAGGGTTGCTGACACAAACTGATAGTGTGGCTGACATGATACTGAAGTTACCCTACGTGCAGCTGGCATACAACTGACCCGCTTGAGTCTCACTGACGCGGAGCTGCGGTGTACTGAACGTGGGCTGAGGGCTGCTGACACATACTGACTGTGTTGCTGACGTGATACTGAAGATACGCAACGTGCAGCTGCCGTACAACTGACCCGCTTGAGTCTCACTGACGCGGAGCTGCGGTGTACTGAACGTGGGCTGAGGGCTGCTGACACATACTGACTGTGTTGCTGACGCGATACTGAAGATACGCAACGTGCAGCTGCCGTACAACTGACCCGCTTGAGTCTCACTGACGCGGAGCTGCGGTGTACTGAACGTGGGCTGAAGGCTGCTGACACAAACTGACAAAGACTCACAAGAGAAATAAATTATGTTATTAAGTAAAAATTATTAAAGCTCAACAGAAAGCCATACTGCGACAAACTGACTCACAGTGCAAACAAGTCCACAAACCGACAAAGACTCACTCACAGGAGAAATAACTTGTTATAAACTAAAAATTATTATAGCTCAACAGAAGGCCATACTGCAACAAACTGACTCACATTGAAAACAATTTCAAAAACTGACTAAGACTCACACAAGAAACAACTTATGTTATATTAACTAAAAATTATTAAAGCTCAACAGAAAGCCATACTGCGACAAACTGACTCACAGTGCAAAGAAGTTGTCATTAACTAAAAAAATTTTCATATTTAATCTCTTAGATCAGAGACTGAGTCGTCATCATCGTCATCTTCTTCATCATCATCATCGTCATCTTCTTCATCATCATCGTCATCTTCTTCATCATCATCATCGTCATCTTCTTCATCATCATCATCTTCATCTTCATCATCATCATCTTCATCATGATCTTCTTCATTATCATGTTTATTATATTTGACACTCTCATCACCATCTTCTTTCTCACCTTCCTCTCTATTACAACTTTCTTCATTCACTTGTTTTATTGGTTTCTGTTTTTGGTCTGTGCTCTTAGAGGAACTTCCATATTGCTTAACCTGTGGCGTGGACGTAGCAAAGCTGCTCCAAGACTGAAAAAGAAAAGAATAGAACCAAAAGGAGTTATTGAAAATAATTTTATAGTAAACTATTGACATGATTTGGGTAGCTTGAATAACCATTCGCCTTTTCCTATTTGAGGAGCATTAATGGTAGACCAAAAGACCTCACCTCTTTTCCAGGCTGTGACGACTTATCCTTCGAGAACTTTTCCTTTGAAGAGTTAAGTTTGGTGCGCTTGTCAGAATCCTGCCAAGAGGAAAACATAAAAAAATTGTGCGAGCTATTTGGCATAACATTTTACCCCAGGATAAGCAAGTATGAGAAAACGCAGGCAACTTACATTCTTTACATTTGACACGAAGATGGGAATGTTATCATCTGTAGCCTCCACTTCCCTCAGACGAAGAAGTTCCTGAAAACATCATGACAAAAAACTGTAAAGTAGAGACTGTATGAACCTAAAGGGAAGGCTAATCATTTGGAATGAAATTAAAGCCTGAAAGCCTTGCTAAGCTAAATAAGTTTTTTAATTTCCTGCCAAGGTAACAGAATTGACAACATGGCAATCAGAAATCAACAGGTTTCAGAGGCAAGCTGAAATCATTTATAAAATTTAACAGACTCACCTCAAGTGATTTTGGTCGTTTACCACCTTCTGTGGGTCGCTCAGTGCTCTTTCTCTTGAAAGCTTTTTTGCTTGGTGGTGAATTGGCAAAGTTTCGAGCTTGTTTCTTCTTAGTTCCTTCGAGCTTAGATTTCCCCGAACTTGTGCTTCCAGATTTGTGCTTAGTGTCGCTTTCTAATCCCTTTTCCTTCCTCACTTTGGCCTTTTTCTTTTTAATCTTACTGGTATTTTCAGTGTCTTCTGTCTGCAAAGTCTGCTTCTTTTGTTTGATCACATCCCTGTTTCTCTCCCTTTTCTTCAAGCTGTCCTTGATTGCACGCTTCTTCTTCTTCTTCTTTTTCTTGGAGATTTCCTCATTAACCCCAACAGATTTAACATTCTTTTTCAGCCGAGGCCTAACTTCAGTGTCACCCTCTCCCCACTTCTTCCTTCGCTCACAGTAGCACTTACTGTTCACCCAAGAATTAATATTGTCAATATTTTCAAACTTGTTTTGAAGATACACTGAAATAATCATAAATGAATTGTAAATTTCGATCAGATTTTATTACAGCCAGTAAGTAGCAGTAGTAAACAAAATAATTTAATACAAACCAATAATGCCCTCTCTGACCCATTTCTCCATGCCATTGCTTTTGCCCCGACCAGCAGCAGTCATGTTGGCCATTGTAAGAGAGTCATACAAGTCGTCCATGATGGCATACACAAAATCTTTCGGGGTTGAATCTGGATTCCTGTCTAGGTTCTTAAGTATTCCTTTGGCTGTCACACTAACCTTGATTTTGGAACCCTTAAATAGGGGCAAGCGTTCCTAGAGCAAAAGACACAATACATTTTGTTTATCTTTGAAGAGGAAAGTAAGAAAAGTTAAAATGAGACCTTACTTCTTCCTCAGGGTTGTGGGAGCCGCAGTAACTCAGCGAAAGGCGGGAGTCATCTTTCTTCCCCTGCAACAAAATTTATTGGGATAGAAGCACATAACTTCAAAATCAGTACAAGTTCCTGGAACATTAAGGTAAACTTACTTGATCCAAAGTCCGATCGTTTTTACTAGCAATGCATTCATCACTATATCCTCTATTGAGGTAGGAAGAGAACTGTTTCACAATATCTGTTGAACAGAAAAAAAGCATTATCATTATCTGAACGCTTTGTTCAATAAAGGTGCCCCTAAGCTCATCGCTGATCAAATTTTTACTTCACGCTCAAATTTCATCTTGTTGGTGTTTCATTGGTGAGGCCTGGATGGCCAAATGGCTGCTCAATGTATTCAAAATGTTATTCAGTCTTTTAGAGAAAATTATTCCCTGATACTCTTCATAGGCCTTTCACTATCACACTTTTGATTATCAATCAATCAATCACGCAACCCCTCTCTTTGCATCATGCGGGCAGCAAAAATTGAATTGTTAAATTAAATAATTTTAATGAGGAAATTATATTTTTGTTAAATAATCTTGAATAGTGGTCATGAAAAGACTAAAGAGACTATCAAGGCATGTGGAAGGATGGTCTCTAGAAGACTGAATAAAATTTCGATCACATAAAGCAACCGTTTGGCTCAACAGACCTCACCAATCAAACGCTAATATACAACTTGAATGTGATGTTAAAAGTTGATGATCAATGAGGTTCAAGTTCCTAGTACGAGCATGACGAGCACCTTAAGAGCTCTCAGGGTTTCTGAAAACCTCAAACACAAATCAATCATATAAAACACTAGAACTGGGTTCCTTAAAATGTAGAGTTAACTAAACTACAAAACAAATCAGAGAATTTTTTACCTTTACACTTAATGCATGTGCATAACATGTAGCATGGATCAGTCTGAACTTCAGTTTCTGAAAATAGTGGAAGTGTCGCATCAAGGGGTGAACTCTCATCCATCTTTGCCTCGTGCGCTTTCTGCATTCCATTTCCCATTCCTTCCGAAACATTTTTCTGACCTTCTACAACTTTAACACTGTCTGCCTGAGTCAGACTGTGGGCAATCTGTCTATCTCCTGTCTTCACTGCAGGGTCACTGTTGCACACATCACTTTGATTCCCTTGATTAAAAAGTCCATTTTGTAGGTAATCATTTGAAGGGCGGCTGAAGGGTGGCACCTCCTCCATACCCGTTGAAGTTCCTTGGTTTGCCGTGCCACAAAGTCCAAGATTAGTGGGAGGTTGAGCTTGCTGCACCTTATCTGGTTCACCGACTTGATTCATCACCAAACTGTTTTGGTTTGAATTACCACTATGTCCATCTTCAACAGTTTTCTTGACGATTGGATCACTTTCATTTTCAGAGCTTATTTCAGTACCTTCTGACAAACTGACTCCATCTGTGAGCAAAATATTATCATTTAAAGAAAGTAACATCTTCATCTTTAATTTGTCCTCCTGTTTCTTGGTCACTTTTAATGTTGTATTTGATGAAATTACGGAAGTAGCTGCACCCTCACCGATCAGATTGTCAAAGGATGCGGAAGAACACTTTAGAAGATCAATGGTAGTTTTGTCAGCAGCGGATCCTCTAGTGCAGTTCCTGGATGGTCTAGATGGCCTTCCATTACCTATAAACACACAATAAAGTAAAACATCACTTGTGAATGAAAGAGCTCGACAGTTGCTACAATCGTTAGCTGACAAATAAAAAATATGGTAGACTCGCATTGTGTGCCTGGAGGCACACTGTTCTAAACAGAGTGCCTCCAGGCACACACTTGCAGAACGATTCTGGATGTGAAATTTATCAGGCATGGCAGGAACTTCTTGCTGGGGATGCAAGAGGCCTCTGCTAACGAAGTTATGTGGATAGGTTATGGTACTAAGAGCTCGAACCAATAGAGAAATATAATTATGCAATCAACGTTACACCTAACCATAGTTATGAAAGTGTTATGAAAATCCATTTAGTTTGAAAACTAAGTCACTTTAAAATAGGCATACTGAGTCGAATCCAAACGGACGTTGTCGGCCTGCATCAGAGAAGAGAGCACTCAGAACTTACCCATAAAGAGTTTCTTCTTGATGTCCTTGGCGTCAGGCATTTTCTATTCATCAAAAATGCAATAGAAATTGCTTACTTTCTTCACAAGACTTTTAGGCCAACGATCTGAACTCTCTGGGCTTGTGAAGACCGTTAAAGTAAAGAGCCTGTTTCGGCGCGGAAGTGCCGTTCGTCTATTGTCGCTGGTACCAACTGTGGAGCCCCAAGCTAGAATGAACTAAGCATTTTCGACAGGTGGCTTTTACAAGATGCAAAAATTCCTAACAAATGCTTTTACTAAAAATAATTTTTCATAACTAATAAAGAGAGTATGGATCTGGAAGCAAAATAGTTCACAAGTCAAATATGTTTATAAGTTAGATGCGCTGAAACGTTTTGTGCAGAATCGCCAACCCTAAAAGACCAACTAAATGGCATGGTCACTTCTTGCCTCCTCCTTTTCGTGTCTTTTTTCATTTGAATACAAAAGTTAAACGTATTCTTATAGTTTGGTTCCTTTGCATGCTGATACTGAAATTTTCTAAGGCCACATCGAGAACATGAAAATTGAATTTCGTGTTGGCTAAGGTGCCAGCAGAAGAAAGAATGAATAACATGCCGTAACCGCGCGGCGGCTGCTGCCAAAACAGGAGCCTGTGTTTATAACCTATCCACCTGCCAGAATGTCGAATCGAGACCGACAGTTCAAAAGGCGCAAGATAGATTATGGTGAAGGATCTGATGAAGATGCTGACGATTTAAATTTGTCTACAGATGAAATTCAGATCAGCCCGGTACCCTCAATATCCTCAGAAGGTTTGCTAGATACTTGTCGTTGTCCAAGTATCCTTCATTCTTGTTAATTTTTTTATTTTAAAATTGAATTGTTTTGTTCATTTCTGACTAGAATCAGAGTGCACTACAAGTTTGGGGCCTAATGAGACCTGTAATGAAACACACCAAGATGTCCCATTTGGCGATGAATCACTTGAAGGTACTGAAACTGACTTATCGTTATTAGTTGTTCTTTGATTGGCTGTGGTAAATCATTCATATTTTACTTCAAACCAAGCAGCAATAAAATTTTATAAGTCATGCATGATGAAGACAACCATTCTTTGTGTAACTGTTTTTTATCTTTATTTGTTTCAGTGACTCATCTAGGCAATGTCACAACCGACAGTGTGCTATCAGAGGACCAAGCATTGCAGCCTATAGGTATGTTCTGCTTGAGTACCTCATGCATTGCGCACCTCGAAATGAACCTAGAGATTTGCTGGTTGTGGTGTTAAGATCGCTCCTCTTTTTATGGAGATATTGAGATGACTAAAAGTGCTCCTATAATGAATTCATCTAACTCATTGCTCATCAACTGGTGTTTTCATTGGAATGGACTTGTAGGCCATGTGGTTCCTCTTTGTAATCAAATTGTGATATATTCTTGTAGACGACATTATTTCTTATGCTTTAAGACTAATTTAAGTCTGTTCATCGCCATATTATATATATTATAACCAAAATAAAATTGTTAATTTGAATTAGTTACATCAAACAATTTTATTTTTGTTATATAATAATATCTGTGGTGATGAGAAGACTGAAAAAAGTCCTAGAGCATAAGGAATACTGCTCTCTACCAGACTATATCACAATTTTATTACAGAGAGGAACCACGTGGCCTACAAGTCCATGCCAATGATGAGTTCATTGTACCATCACCTTAATACTTCAACATTTTCTCTCAGGGGAAGCAGATGATAAAGCTGGTCTCATGGATATTACTTGCTTGGATGTGACTGAGATGTCAATTATGCAGGAAACGGGAGGTGAGTTGTCATCACTATAAAGGCAATTATTTCACAAATCACTCCTGGTTTAGGCGTAAACTTGTAAAATTTGCTCGAAACAAGTCAAATATAAGTTTAGAGTGCACCTTGAGTTTGGGTTTCTTTGTTTGTATTGATACAATTTAATTTGAGGGTGAGCAGGATTATTCCTATCACCCACGTTCATGCAGAAGCCCTAATTCAAGAACCTTTTTTATCTGCACACAAGTTTTTGAATGTTTTTATAGTTAAACTGATTGCAACACTGTGTACCAAACCATGTAAATTGATTTTTTTTTATCTTCCTAGATTCAAGTTCTCATCATATTAACCCAGCTGACAATAGCATTACTGAAGAAAAAATCATATATCAAGAGACAAGTAGTGATTCAGATACAAGTGAGGAAAGTGAAATTGATTCGAGTTCGAGTTCTGGTAAGTTACTTTTGGTCTGGCTGGTGAAGCTGTTCTGTTATTTATGAAAGAATTTACTAGTTTTATTTAATTAAAAGGGATTGTCCAATCTTCATCATTAAAAGTTTGGTGAGTGGGGTAGTAATGAATCTTGATGACACATCTAAAGATAAATGTATTAAGGCATCTTTCTAGCATTTTGTAAAATGCTTTAGTATTGTTGATAAAATTCTTGAAATTTGACTTCAACTATTTGTTTTTACCTACTTTAAAATAGTAAGAAAAAAAGATTTCAGCAGGGAAAAATTAATCAATAAAATAATAACAGACAGGCTTCATTTTTCTCACCTATTAAAATTGTAGTATTATTTTTCCCATTAATTTGGCGTGACCTGTTTGTTAATTGATTCTCTTTTCCGCAGAGTCTGATAATGATGATATATACTTCTCTGAAGAAGAGGAGTGCTTGACCGAACATGTTGATCAACAATTGTATGAAGGTGCACCAATAAGTGTTGAAGACAGTATGATTGCCATTTTAGCTTACATCAAACGGCATGAGTGTAGTGGGAGGCAAATAGTTGATTTATTGAAATTGATTAAACTCCATTGCAAAAAAGAGAAGAATTTAATGAAAACTACCTTATATTTCTTCAAGAAATACTTTTCATGTTTAGATTGTCCAGTGGTTTATCACCATTACTGTTCAGGCTGCTACTTCAAGTTGGAAAAGAAAGACACTCCATGTCCAAATGCCAAGATGCATCCTGCAACATCCGGGACATGTGTCTTTGTTGAAATGCCACTTATTCCACAGCTGCAGAAGTTATTTGCCCAAGAAGAATTTTATTCAAACTTAAACTACAAGCATACAAGAACCAAAGTTTGTGCAGAAAATCTAGAAGATATTTATGATGGACAAATTTACAAAGAACTAGAGAAAAGTGGCTTTTTGTCTATAGATAAACCATTGAATGTCACAATGATTATGAATGCAGATGGAGTGCCTGTATTTAAGTCCACTAATGCGTCCATGTGGCCTGTGTTTTTCAATGTGAATGAATTGCCTCCTCATCTACGATTTAAAAAGGAGTATACACTTATTGGTGGTGTGTGGTTCGGTGGCAAACCAAGTGCCAATCTTATTCTGGAACCACTCATGAAATCAGTAAAAGAGATTCGGTCAGGTTTTGATGTGACACCACCTGGCAATCAGACGCCAGCCACTGCAAAAGGAATTTTGATTGCTGCTGCAACTGACCTTCCAGCTAAAATAATGCTATGTGGTATGGCCAGCTATTCTGGAGCCTATGGTTGTCAGATCTGCAAAATTAAAGGAGGAAGTGTTCAAATTACGAAGAAAGTTAGACAGAAGAAAATTGACCAGAAACAGACAAAGAAAGGGAAAAATGAAACTGTCGCCTACTCGTCTGTTTGGGCTTTCAAATATTCAGATGATCTAGATTTAAGAAGCCATGCTGAAACTATTCGTCTTGGTGAGGAAGCTCAGAAGATTCTTCAGAAAACCCATGATCCTGATACAAATGTGTATGGTGTAAAATATCCCAGTGCCATTTTCAAAATGATGTATGATGGAATCCGAGGTTTCGCAGTGGATGATTTACACACTTTGTTTCTTGGTGTGACTAAAACATTACTGAAGTTGCAATTTGACTCGGCTTTCAGTTCACAACCGTTTTCACTCAGGAAATTTCTTCCACTGGTTGATGATCGTCTCATGGCATTGAAGCTTCCTAATTTTTTGGAAAGAGGTGTTAGAAAAATTGGTACTGATCTTGCATATTTCAAGGGAACTGAATTACAAACCTGGGCTCTTTACCTCTGTATCCCCATTCTGGATGGAATCATGACTGATAGATACTTAGAACATCAAGTTGAGCTTGTTAACTGCCTTCACACTATGCAGTCATCTTCATTAGCCCCTGACACAATGTTATCATGTGAAAATAAACTGAAGAATTATGCCAAGAATTTTGAAGTGTTATATGGAAGTCGACATATGACAATGGTTATGCATTTACTCCGGCATTTGGTCTGGGCTGTGAAGAACCTCGGGCCAATGAGATACACTTCCACCTTTCATTATGAAGGGCTTAATGCTGAAATTCTGAAAATGATCCATGGAACAAGGTATGTTGAAACTCAACTTGCAAGTGGATGCTTTTTAATCAAGCAGCTGCCAAAGAGTCTCCAAAATATATCATCAGAAGACGTGAGGGATTACTGTTTCAAGCTGCTCCACCCTTCACTTCGATTGAAGAAACTTGAAGATATTGAACCTGGGGTGTTTTCTGTTGGAACTTACAAACCAGTACCCTTGCAGCAGAATCATGTCTTTGATTGTTTAGATAAACTCAAAATATCTAAAGCAGACTCAAATGTTCAATCATTTTACAGATTGAAAAAAAATAAACTGCTGTTTGTGTCCCGTTCCTACACTCGAATTGTTAAGAGGAATTCTTCTGTTTGTTCTTTTGTGTCAGATGGAAACAAACTAGGACATGGAACAATTGATAAATTTGTCAAAGTGTGTTCGAATTCTCAAGTAAAATATTTTGCCATCATACAAGTTGCGCAACTTCAACCGTATGTGGTTGTATCCCAACTGGTTCTTCACATTTCAAAATATTCTCTCACAAATGACTACGAAGCCATTCCTGTGATGAATTTAAGGGACATGCTAATATGTGTTGATGTAGATGATAGATCATATGTGTGCCGGCCTATCTAACAACAGTTTGAGTATTTCTTGTATGTGTGCCTAGTAGTAAATGAAAACTGACTGTGCCCATTAAAAACAGGAACATTTATGTCCAAAAACAGACTTGTGATCATGGTTGTAATGCAAACTTAAATAAAATCTCCTCAACATAGACAAGATGTCTTCATTGCTTCATTGCTGTTACATGACAATTGCAATAACAAAAAGACAACTATTGCCCCAATAGAAAACCCTTCATTATTTCTAAATGAAAGAAAAAAGTTGCAGGTATTACAATTAAATATGACCAAATAGGATTTTTTTCTCCTTTGTAAGCACTCAAAATGAATCGACTCTACAGAAACAGCAACATCTTCCCATTTATTAATTTCAAAATTTTTAAAAAATCCACGATTGACAAAAAAAAATTAACCAGAAGACAGCACTCAAAAGCATACAGCCGCCCTGCAGAGCCACGGTCACCAGGACCTCGAGCTTGGCGTCGTGTGGGAGCGGGTGCGCGGCGCGCGGGGGAAGGACCGCACTCGGCCAGGTCACCAGGACCTCGAGCTTGGCGTCGTGTGGGAGCGGGTGCGCGGCGCGCGGGGGAAGGATCGCACTCGGCCAGGTCACCAGGACCTCGAGCTTGGCGTCGTGTGGGAGCGGGTGCGCGGCGCGCGGGGGAAGGACCGCACTCGGCCAGGTCACCAGGACCTCGAGCTTGGCGTCGTGTGGGAGCGGGTGCGCGGCGCGCGGGGGAAGGACCGCACTCGGCCAGGTCACCAGGACCCTCGAGCTTGGCGTCGTGTGGGAGCGCGTGCGCGGCGCGCGGGGGAAGGACCGCACTCGGCCAGGTCACCAGGACCTCGAGCTTGGCGTCGTGTGGGAGCGGGTGCGTGGCGCGTGGGGGAAGGACCGCACTCGGCCAGCTGTCACCAGATTGTAAACTGGTTGTTTCTGGTTGCCGTGGAAACGCATGCAGTGAAACAGTGGTTAGATAAGTTGTGCGAAGAACGAGTCAGCCGTTATGCCGAACTTTAACCCGCCACCCCCCATGGCTGTGCCGGCAGCGGCAGTCGAGGCTTTCCTGCTGGTAAGCACATAGTCTGTCCTTCCATTTTGCTTGGTTTAGCTTACTCTCCTCCCTTGTGTAGAAACGCCTCCACCAAGCCCAGGAGGACGTGGCCATGTTGGAGGCGGCGCTGACGCTGGTGCGCCAGGCACAACGTGAGTTGCTGGCACGACGTACTCGACCCATGGAGATAATGTCACGACCAAGGCGGAGTCGGGCTTGTTAATGCAGACTGATTCCGAGAGTCGTTTTCGTCGCTGTCCCTCTCGCACCCATGGGGCGTCCCGTTAAGGTGCAAGAGAGACAGAGCGACGAAAACGACTCTCGGAATCAGTCTGCTGACACTACCGAGTGCAGGAGCCGATGGGATGCGGTCGCCGTCGGTACCAGGAAGGCTCCCGCCGACCCCTGAAGAGGGACCTCAATATCCTGATGGTGGCCTACGCGGCCCATCTAATCGCCGTGGGCGGACGATGCGGCCGCCGTCGTCGAGGGGCACCTCCCGACGCGGGGCTCTTGCACCCGGGACTACGCCCGCCCCTCGCGCCCCTCGCGCCCCTCGCGCTCTTGCCACCACTGCCGACAACGTCTCACGGCGCCCTCGCCGCAAGCGTGCAAAGAAGCGTTACACTAATAAATGAATTTGTTTCCAATCACGTGTTGTGTTGACTTGCTGAAATTTCTCTTCGTTGGCGGCTTGCTCTGAATCAACTCAGTTATCATTTGACGATCAGGACTTGGGCCTCAGAGGCAGAAAGCATGTGCAGAAAAAACGTTCCCTAATTGTACCAGCGTAAATGGGCATTGTGGATCGGCACTGAAGACTTGGAGGCTTTTAGTGCCTCTGAAGTGAGCCACTGATCCGTACCGCAACACACCGGTGGTAAGAATGTGGCCCACCTTGCTCCCGTCGTCTTCACAGCGGACTGATTCCGAGCGTCGTTTTCGTCGCTCTGTCTCGCTCACACTCATGGGGCTCTCTATAAGGGTGCGAGAGAGACAGAGCGACGAACCACTCTTCTGAATCGCACGGCAGGGCTGATGTAGGCCAACGTCTCCACACCGGAGTGTTGCCGGACGAATCAGTGGCCTACCTCACAGACACGTAAGCTTGATTTTCTAGTATTTATCACGATATGGGGGCATTACGGCTTATTTCAATGGATACTACGTAGAGTTCATATTTCAGTTGCTACCATCTCCAAAAACTTACAAACTTCCCTGTGGACTCCGCTTTTTACATTTTGAGACGTGTGCACCGGCGCGCTAATATTTGCTTCGCTCTCATTGGTCACCGCCACCGTGGTCATGTGACGTCGTCTGGTGCCTTTCGTTTCGACCGTTGCTGTGTTTTGTTCTCGAACATTGACTGTTTTCCAATTTTCAAATTAAGTATATCGTCCTTGTTCTGTGAGAAAATCAAGAGGTATTTTCCTGTCAGCTTCAATTTGAGTGACAAACAAGTAAGTGCACATGTGTGAGAAGCTACATTAGGCCTATGGAAGGAACTTCTATGCCCACAGCTTGTGGAAAGTTTGGTTCGTGTGTTAAAATTTTCTATGGATTTTAGAATAAAATAGAGCTTTCGAATTATTCAAAAAAATTTCTTAACATAATTTATAACATATCCAATTTCTTATGTTTGTTCCCAGTGCCGCTTGTCAACATTGTGGGTGTCTTCATTGAAGATGGACAGGTTTGCTGCTATTACAATGTACATACTTCAGGCATTGATTACTCGTCTGGTGATATCATAGAACTTCCACGAAATGGCCGGAAGACAACAGTTGTAATCTTGGGCATCCATGGTACTTATGTTCTTTTGATTTCATAATATTTTATTAGTTACCTTACTTGTTACTTTGGCGCTGCATGATATGTTGCATGTTGTTTCAGAAAATCTGGCCCAGGCTGCTGCCTTGGCTAAAAATTACTTCAAGAGACTCTGCAAATGGGACAATGTTGAAGACCTGACTACAGTCAAACTGTTTGGTTACGATCTGGGCCCCATCGAAGAAGAAGTTTCTCAAATTGCCTATTTTTACACACAGGACGTTGAGGGTATGACTTCTTTCACTGATATATTTGTGTCGTGATTGTTGTTACCCTCTGAAATGTGATTGAAGTTGGCTCTGGTATTATCAGTCGCAACCACTCACATTTGTGGTGACTAGTTTTTCTTCATTTCGTAACGAACTAAAGTAGGAACATTTATTTCTCTTTTGAAACCAAGTGGGGCGAAACCTCACCTATAAGCTCTTAGTGAGGAAAAAGCCGCAAAATTATTTATCCATTCAGTTTCGATACCATAGCTCATGATAGGTAAACCAATGTACTTCCTCTGTTCCAGGGCCATTGCTCTACACTAATAATGCCTTTGATCTGCTGGACCTGGTCAATGACACACAAGGTTCTCAAGAGGACCACTGTTAGAGAGCAATTTCATTGAATGTGTGTACCTCTTGGCTAATCATGTTTCTATATTTTTTCCACTGTTCAATTTCTGTTTTCTTTGTGATAAGCTTTGCATGTACACCTTGCACAACTTTTCAAAGGCCCATTTATTTGTTTTGACCAATGTACCTTAATGCTATTGGATTCTTGCTGTTTTATTTCAAGTCACCTGACCTCTTGAAGTAGGCATAAAAAACTGATGGGAAATTGACATGAACTACAATGATTTCTATTTTAAACCATTTTATTTATTTTACCGGATTTTAAAACAGAAATGAAGGTGCAAGGGAAGTTATTTGAAGGGGGAATGTTAACAAAATTCATTCTGTCTTCATTCTTCAAAGCAATTGACAGTGGACCTAGAAAAGAGCAAAAGATACTGTAAGGTGGCTTTCATATTTTAAAAAAAGCACGAGAGCCAATGTTACTAGAAGCACCGTCAACACGAACACAATAAATTTCTTAAATGATGTGGATTTTAGGGAAGTAGATCATGGTTACATTACACTATTTTGGAACGATTAAAAGGGGGTTTGGCTTCTGTTATCGTTGGAAGAAGCCTAAACTAGATGGTGAGAACTATTAAGCTATTATCGATAAATAATGTTTCGGCTCTCAGAAAGAATCCTTAATATTTACTCACTTATGCAAAGAAATTGGTGAGAACAGAATACAGGTTCCTTTCTTTCACAAATGGACTCCCAGCAGGCCTGTCAAAGAGAAAGAGACTAAGAAGGCATAGAAAGGAAAACACTATACACTACTGTCATGAGTTTCATGAGTTCATTGTACGAGCACCTTGAAAGTTTAAGTTGCATTATGAAATTCAAGCATGAACCATGTACAGTTTTCAGGAACAGTGAAAAGTGATCCAAATGCAAAAATAGAGGCAAATCTTTTAAAAATTAAAATAACTTACCCATCAAAGAAAGTTGTGGGAAACACGAGCTGGCAACACACAGCGCATTCATCTAGATGAGAAGTAAGAAAACTGCTTTTGGAAATGATCACAGGAAAATCAGCACACCTGCAACATATACAGAAAAATGTTGTAAAAGATTGTATTTTAAATTAAAAATAAGGAGAGGCAACATTTGTTTTTCCAAAAACAGAAATCCAAGAAAAGTATGACAGTCAGCAGTGCGTTTAAAGCAGTGTAAAGATCATACAATGATGAGGTTGTGGTGGTCAGCTGATGCACAATAATACTGTCAAACTGATGACTGCATTTCGAAGCTAACAAGCTAAAATTAAGAGCTCGATAAAAAAAAAATATTTGATACATATTATTCGAATGGTGTTGATAAAGAGCCTAAAGACAAGTGACACAAAAAAGTTACATTGAGTTACATACTGAGTCAACGACAGACAAAGGGAAAATCGGATTTGAGTGCGGCAAAGCTGTGCATTTGACAATGATAAGAAAAATAGTAACGGCGAAACTCACCCCATTACGCACGGCAGAAGTGGCGGAGAACTTTGACATCTATTCAACGAGAACACAGACAGACTTACTCGAAAGACACAGTGCCCAACCCAAATCCGAAAACACACAGCAATTTCGATTTGAATAGTCGACTGAGTCGACTTCATCTCGAGGTTTCGCGACGCGGGAACAAGTTCCCTCGTTCAAATTGAACGTGCTTATACTAGAGAGGATATTCGGCTGACTGACGCACGACCGAACGACAAACAAACAAACGGCTGAAAAAAAAACTGACTTTGTCAGCGAAAAATCGGCTGGTCGGGTTACTGACTCAGCACTGACGGGAAACAGACCCCAGATGCTGATTATCACTGAGTGTTCCTCAGCCGATTATCCGCTAGTCGAGATACTGATGCACAGCCGAGAGATGGCTGACAGCAAGTGCTGATTAACACTGAGCATTTCTCAGCCAAAAGCCAGCTCGTTGGGTTACTGACGCAAGACTGACCAATGACTGACCATTGTTACTGATAATTACTGACTGTTTCTCAGCCAATAATCGGTTAGCCGGGCTACTGACTCAGAACTGATGGGAAACTGACTCCAGATGCTGATAGTTTCTGAGTTTTCTCAGCCAACCATCAGCTAGTCGGGTTGCTGACTCACGACTGACCGACGACTGACTCCAGAAGCTGAAATTCACCGAGTGCTCCTCAGCCGAGTGTCAGCCACGCGGGCTACTGATGCACAGCCGAGAGATGGCTGACAGCAAGTGCTGATTAACACTGAGCATTTCTCAGCCAAAAGCCAGCTAGTTGGGTTACTGACGGAAGACTGACCAATGACTGACCATTGTTACTGATAATTACTGACTGTTTCTCAGCCAATAATCGGTTAGCCGGGCTACTGACTCAGAACTGATGGGAAACTGACCCCAGATGCTGATAGTTTCTGAGTTTTCTCAGCCAACCATCAGCTAGTCGGGTTGCTGACTCACGACTGACCGACGACTGACTCCAGAAGCTGAAATTCACCGAGTGCTCCTCAGCCGATTGTCAGCCACGCGGGCTACTGATGCACGGCTGAGAGATGGCTGACAGCAAGTGCTGATTAACACTGAGCATTTCTCAGCCAAAAGCCAGCTAGTTGGGTTACTGACGGAAGACTGACCAATGACTGACCATTGTTACTGATAATTACTGACTGTTTCTCAGCCAATAATCGGTTAGCCGGGCTACTGACTCAGAACTGATGGGAAACTGACTCCAGATGCTGATAGTTTCTGAGTTTTCTCAGCCAACCATCAGCTAGTCGGGTTGCTGACTCACGACTGACCGACGACTGACTCCAGAAGCTGAAATTCACCGAGTGCTCCTCAGCCGAGTGTCAGCCACGCGGGCTACTGATGCACGGCTGAGAGATGGCTGACAGCAAGTGCTGATTAACACTGAGCATTTCTCAGCCAAAAGCCAGCTAGTTGGGTTACTGACGGAAGACTGACCAATGACTGACCATTGTTACTGATAATTACTGACTGTTTCTCAGCCAATAATCGGTTAGCCGGGCTACTGACTCAGAACTGATGGGAAACTGACTCCAGATGCTGATAGTTTCTGAGTTTTCTCAGCCAACCATCAGCTAGTCGGGTTGCTGACTCACGACTGACCGACGACTGACTCCAGAAGCTGAAATTCACCGAGTGCTCCTCAGCCGATTGTCAGCCACGCGGGCTACTGATGCACGGCTGAGAGATGGCTGACAGCAAGTGCTGATTGACACTGAGTATTTCTCAGCCAATAGCCAGCTAGTTGGGTTACTGACGCAAGACTGACCAATGACTGACCATTGTTACTGATAATTACTGACTGTCTCTCAGTCATGATTCAGCGATTCGCAGTACTGATGCAAACCTGAGTGCGCACTGAGGCACTCGGACTGAGTTTAATCAGCAAAAACGCAGCCTTTCGTGTGACTGAATTTGGGCTGATAAAAACTGTATCAGTGAAAGGCAGCAATATATCAGGTTGAACTGACATGGTGCTGATTAAAGCTGAAAGCGTCTCAGTGCCATAGGCAGTTCCAAGACAGCGTATGGCTGTGTAACATCGGTTGTGTCAGGTCACATCAGCTGGAGGACAGTAGGCTCAGTATTGAATCAGGTGCAATCAGGTGACTGCAGTTTCGGGGGGAGTTTAAATTTTTCTCCAGGGAAGCCAGTTTCACCAGTACTTTCGTGGATCGGAGCTTGTCACGGCAGGACGTCGGAAGAGAAGTGGTAGCATGTCTGCGACAGTGACAGCCAAAGGCCCCAGTGACAGAAACGTCCAGTATTCAATACAGGTCCCTAGTTCCATCCGCAACATAAAAAAAATAGCTCGAACCTTCCGCTGGCCATCCTCCACTTTTCTTTGAATATAGTTCGGCTGAAGAGTGTTTGGACATTGTGTTTCAGTCTTTAGACGTCAGCATCAATCACTCCTGGCAAGACGTTAACGGAAACACTCCGATAGAACGTCCCCGGGCTTTTTTGGCACTGGGGGCCCCAAATATTTTGAGGATGAGAATTATCCAGCCCGGGACCCAACGGGCCTTCCTCTACGGCCCCCTCCCAGGAGACCATACAAGGAGAGCACCGGCCCGACAGTCTCCGATCAAATGCTGCGCCCCTTTTCAAAACGACGACCATGGCGTTTTCAAGTAAGTCGTGGATGGGTCAAATTTCGCTAAGGCGTCCCACACAAGTTTTAATGTGATCCGATTTCAAGCGATCTCGGTGCGTTTGATGCACTATGTTCGGCATAAACGACGGATCCTTCGGCAAGAGAATTGCCAACGGTTCCTTCATTAATTTACAAAGCTCTTCGTATTTACGAGAACCTTCGTAATTTTTTTGAAAGACCTCTTTCGATTGTACAAGTTAACGAAGCACCTTCATAAATCTACACTGTTAAAAATAATCGTAAATTTACGACATTTTGGGAAAACAATTATGTCGTTTTTAAACGACAAATTTTTTTACGACTCAAGTCGTAAATATACGACTTGAGTCGTAAATTTACGACACATTTGTCGCTAATTTTGATAGCGAGACGTTCCGTTTTGAAACGAATTAAGTCGTAAATTTACGACTTAATCGTAAGTTTACGAGCGATCGTAATTTATCTATGGAATATGTCGTGCAGTTATGACTGTCGTACATTTACGAATCTTTTCGTAAATTTGTGTAATGAATCGTAAGTGAACGACACAAATCGTAAATAAGCGAGCAACATTGCAACTTTTCATCTACTTTTCGGGAATTTCAGATTTTAAAATATGTAATCGCGATTACGACATTGTCGTAGAGAAATGACTTTTTAGTCGTTCAGTTACGACGAAGTAGTTTAAGAACGACTTCCGTCGCTATGAAAATTAGCGACTTTTTTGTCGCTTATTTAAGACAAAATTTCTGACAGTGTAGTAGAGTGAATCTGTCCACACTGGAACAATTTTTCATGTCCCACCCCTTTTTAAGGGTTCCCAAGAAGCCCTATTGTTTTTGGTCTGGAGAATTCCTCTCCCCCCTTCTTCGATTTCAAAATAAACAACGCCAAACTATTTCAACTAACGAAAATTTCAGTTTCTAGGTCAAGCGGATCAAAGCTTGAGCTATTACTCGCGAAATGCGCGAGGCTCAGTGTCTAGGTTTTGGTCCGGATGCGAACGGAGCGAAGAAACACTATCTTTTTTGCTTATTTTTCCATTTTTGTTAGGCAACCACGCGTTAATTGGCTGAGGCCAGCTCAACCTGTCTTTTCCAAACTCAAATAGCAGCCATACTTTTTTGAGGACCCTTCTTTTGTTGCATGCATAGGGGCTGTTCCTGTGCCTCTTTGAAGGATTGACAACTTGCTAAAGGCAAAGATACTTGACCGAAATGGACGGAGAAAAACATATCACAGGGAGAAATGAAAGGAAAGTCTTACGGGAAGTGCGAGAGGGGTGTCAAAATGAGAGGTAAACAGGGAACAAAGGAACATTGCGGAATTAAATTGCATGATATAAATTGATGTTGTGGATGCCTGGTGCTGTCATCATGGCTGTCATGGTCGTGTCAGCGTAAGTTTGGGAAACATTCAAAAATGAAATGTAATGAGACAAAAGGGTTTTTAAGATGAATGTTTGTTGTCAATTTAGTCGACACACACACAAAACCCCGAAGCCTATAAGGCCTTGCCTTTTGCTAGTTTACATTAGAGGAACATTTGACACTCATTTTACACCTTTTACCTGTTGCGCCCCCCCCCCCTTTCCCCCGCCGCCTCGCACCATAACCCCTGTTGGCAGGTCTAGCCCTTAATGGTAATGGTAATAGAAGGGTAGGCCATCCTGTCACACTGGCGTGCTGTGCGGGCTGACTGGCCTGCTTCCACAGGCGCTCAGAAGCGGTCAGGACGCACGCTGGGATATTTCCAAACACATTCCCGGAAACGCAATATTTTTCCCAGCACCGGCCTTTAGTCTTCCCAGGCGGACACCGCATTATTGGTTGCAGGAATGTTTACGGGCGTACTTCCTACCTCACAAAGGGGCTGGTCGCACTGGGCAACGAGACCCACTGCTCGGGGATGGTCCATGAATCCCTCCCCGACTGGAAGGTCGACCCGAACTGGAATGCCAAGCTCCTGCAACGAGAGTGACAGCATTAATACTTAATTCCTATGGAGTGTGTTGTGCACAGCTCTGCTTGCGGAATTGGAGATACGTTTTGAAATGCACCAATTCGTGCGCAGCTTAGCATGAAAATTTGCGTTGTTGGCGAGCGATAGCGAGCCCTTGCCGTGTTTGGGCGCTCCAAAAAGTGACTGGTCGTGCGTCTGTCCCTCTGTGAGTCTGTAGCGTACACGCTCACGTTTCTCAGCAACTACAACACTAATAGTTACCAAATTTTGCACCGAACATCCCCTAAAGGTCCCACAGGGGGAGTTTATCTTATATTCACGATTACTACCGTTTGAAATATTCAAAACATCTTTTTGAATTAGGTTCTTAGCGTGGTAAGGTTGGCAGCATATATAGCAATTTTTCATACTTGCGGCCGCGGCTCTCAAATACGGGACTGTCAAAACATTGGCAAATAAAACAAAATAGAGAGGAGAAGGGCTTAGAAGTGAGTTCGGTCTTAGTTTTTCGATATTCTAGAATGATTGAAACCCCTCCGGAGTGTCAACACAGTGAAATACGGAAAATGAAAGTGACAATTATTACGCGTTTCGTCCGTCCGTCCGCCCCCTCCCCTCCCCCGCCACAGGGGAAATGTTTTAGTCAGTGGAGTGTGTTTGATCGTTTGATAATTGCAAGAATGATTTGGTCTTTTTAAGTTTTGAGAGTGTATTTCCATTTTTATTCTCAGACATTATACTTTTTAGTTTTTTGCTTTGCTCAATAACAGTTAGAAAATAGATCAATACAATCTAAAAGTACAAACCAGACACTAATCTTGCCAAAATAAATAGTCTTTGCTGACTCTTGGCACTGACTCTGGGGAAAGGCTTCATTGCAATGCTGTAAGTTTACTATAGTACTAACCTTAAAGATAACTATAAGGTGAGTGAGAGTAGCGCATTCATGGTTTGACATTGACATCTGATTCAATGAGACGATTCAGTGACTTGGTCATATGATTTCATGAGACGATTCTTTTAACTTCATCATACATTGTCTGCGACAACTGGTAATTTGTGTCAGTCATGGTTTGAGTTGGCTGTCTTTTTAATTTATTCAGAATGTTAGGTAAATACTTATGCTATACTGTTTTAAAGATTAAATATCACATCATGACTATCATTATGAATAAGATTAACTTGCGTTTAGCAATAAGTGGGCTCGACATTGAATTCAATAGAACGATTCATTGGATCTGACAGAAGGTCTTCTCCGTAAAGAAGTTGCAATCAGCCTGCCTGTAAATGTGTCTCTTTTTAATTAATTGAGATAAATCAATGTAGTTTTATCCACTAATTTAAAATAAAAGGGAGATAAAAGGCTTTTTAGGTATTACTTATAACATTGTGTATTCATAAGTTCAATAACAAGGAGATATCGAATGGTATTTGAAGCATTTGTGAATCGTATTAAGTAATTCAATGCTGGCTGTTGAATGTTACTCGACTGAGAAACAGTGTCAGGGTTCATGTTACGACACAATGAACAGGAAACACACTTAGAAATTGCGAAAATGACTTCCAATTTCATCCCAGACCATTACTTTTCCCAAAATTTACCAATTTCTGACCAAAATTTTGAAGTCGAGTTTTACATAGTTTCCTGCAGTTTTGGGTGTGCTGATCTCGAAAATGACTTCCAATTTCATCCCAGACCTTTACTTTTCCAAATATTTACCAATTTCGGACCAAAATTTTTGAGTCGAGTTATACATAGTTTCCTGCAGTTTTTGGTGTGCTGATCACGAAAATGACTTCCGATTTCATCTCAGACCTTTACTTTTCCAAATATTTACCAATTTCGGACCAAAATTTTTGAGTCGAGTTTTACATAGTTTCCTGCAGTTTTTGGTGTGCTGATCACGAAAATGACTTCCAATTTCATCCCAGACCTTTACTTTTCCCGAAATTTACCAATTTGTGACCAAAATTTCAAAGTTGAGTTTCCCATTGTTTCCTGAAGTTTCCAGTAAGATAATCACGAAAATGACATGAATTCCGGCCCTTTCGTGACGGAAGACACTGTATTGGCCTTATTCTGCACATATTCTTCGCCATCTCCTATAAGAATGTGTTCAGACGCATCGCTCGCCTACAACGCGCCCAAACTAAACGGCGCGTACCCCTAGTTAAACAGTGTTGTTGAACACGTATTCGTGCATTTCACGAATTGCAGAATGACAACATCAGAACCAGACCTTGGACCGTTCCTTAAAAATGGCGTTGTCGATATCACAGGCCTTCGGTTGCGGAGGTCTTCCGTCCCCGAAGTTCACGACGCACCTTGAGATGTTCTGCAGGTCCAATGCCCGACATCATGAGTATCTGCGGTGAATGGATCGTCCCCGAAGAAAGGACAACCTCCTTGGCCTGAACAACACGGACCTGTAGATGCAAGGAAACGTCTCAAACTGAAAATGGGTCCAAAACTGCCAACCAGACCACTGTAACTAAAATGTCTTCGGCCAACGAGCGTTCCAAAACAGATTAAAAATCATGAACATGGGTGAAATTGATGCACTGAGGAAATATGAACCGATCTCTTAAAACCGTGCAAAGCGCCTTTTTCATGGACAGGATGAATCGTGAAGAATGAAGTCGGCTGCAAAGCCACCCAGGCACAGTGGGCCAGAAGACCGATGGAGGCGGCTAAAACTCCAGACGCCTTCAGCTCCTGAGTCGCTGAACAGGACTTAAACCGGACCTGTGACCCCACCTTTGAATTCCTCGTTCGAAGAGCAATCCATTGGTTGGGTCACACGTTGGGTTCGAATCTCCTTCAGCGACTCTGGAGCTCAAAACGCGTCTAGAATTTTGGACGCCTCCACCGGTTTTCTGGTCCACAGCGCGCGGGCGACATTTCCAAACTCTTCGGTTACCTGCCCAGCCGCGTCCTGGTACTCGACCCCAGTGGCCCTTGGCCGGCCGTCCTTGTCGTCGAGCAGGACTCGCCTGGCCGTGGCGAAGGTCTCAACGCGCAGGTTGGAGCGGCACATCGCAGGCTTGAGGTAGCTGCGGTACGTGCTCCAGCGCTCGCCGTCAGCGGTGATCGTCTGGGGCAGACAGGTCGTCGAACAGTCTTGAGAACTTGCGAAGGATACACTGCTACAAAAGCCGTACATTTCAAGGAAAAAGGTACGGCTAGACCGTACCTCACGCTGTACAGAACAACTGTACCCAAAAACCGTGCTTCCCATAAGAGCCCATGCTATGAAAAACCGTACTCCGTACCCCAAAGGCCGTACTGGCTGAGGTACGGTGGTACCACGCAAATCGTCTACCAGACTCTGCCTGTACTTTTCCCCGTGGATTTTTTCTACAGTGTACTGCGTGGGACACGACACTTTGCCGAGTGGAACAGTGAAGTGCAGTGTTGCCAGAAAGTTAGAAAGTCGCCCTAACACACCGGTCGTGTGCGACAGGCTGCATCTCCTGCTGCCTCCTGGGCGAGAAGTTGCCTAGTAGGCAGGAGGAGATAGATGCACACGGTAAAAAAAAAAGGTTTCTGGTATGGTTTTTCCAAGAACTCCCTGGAAATCACCTATGTCTCTAACATAGGCTTCCTAGGAAAAGCAGGAACCGTTTTTACCGCGTGCAGTCCGTTGCACACCTGTGTGTTCGAGCTCAGGTTAGCTGAATTTTCTAGCAACACTGGTACTTTGGTTTTTAACGAGCCTTGGGGTAGTTTTTCCAGTTTGATTTGCCCTCGTCCAGCAGAATTCAAGACGCCGTGGAAGGATTACCTGGGCGATGGAGTAGCCTAGCTGTCCTTGGCCGCCGTTGATGTCCAGGATGCTCGGCGTGCCGAGGTCGTCATAGGCCTTGGCGAAGGCGCGAAGCACTGGGTGGCGGTAGGGCTGCCAGGAAACTTTTTGAGGGCCTCCGGTGGAGTGGAAATCTGCACAAGAAAAGCGACTTACCGTGAACTTCTTATAGGGGCACGCTTAATCTTTCAACTAGGACGTCTGCTTCCTGTAGGCGGTTGTGACGGAGTGTGCTTTCCCATGCTCACCCCTTTCCATGAGTGCTCTCCCCGTCTCCCATGCTCACTCCTTTCCATGTGTACCGTGAAACGGGGTAATTTCGGACACTCGGTGTAATTTCGGACAACTCTGCCCGGAAGCATTGCGATGATGCTCCCATCTAACGGCCAACTTGGAGGCTTGTCCCGTTGCGCGCATCGCATCGGCCACACTTAAAACCATCTGATCAATCACCCGGAGGCCAAATCAGGGGCAAACTTCAGGAGAAATAGTGGTTTTTGTATTTAACCATTTTTACCTAAAATCGCTTTATGCGTAAAAACTTTGACTGGCAAGCCGAAACTGTTCATGGCCGGTTCATGAGGTGATTGTTTGTCGATTTAATCATGTTAAGAGCTTACTGTGTCAAATTTTCAATCACCTGGGTCAAATAGTATGGTTTATATGGGCTCAAAACTACAAAAATGCTACTTTACGGGGTAATTTCGGACATACAAACGTCACGCCAGGGAGAGTGGGTATGTCCTGAACACTTCCAATTTCGCAGGGTTTGAGTGGTGGAAGCTGAAGAGCTCTTCTGAAAGTTGAAGATAATCCAATAACAACGATAATCCCCAATTGTTACAGCGGTTGCTTTGTAAACTTCGAATTTCATGAAAATAGGGCAAAGCTACATCTTTAATACTTAGTTTTTTTATGTGCATGTTCTACCTTAGTGTCAACGACTGTTTTGTGATTAATTTTCTTTGACATGAGAGTTGGACTTGGCGAATGGCTGCATAGCTCGCCGGTTTACTATGCAAAGCTTTCCACTGAGCCCCTGTATCTTCCTAACCGTACATACGACATACTACTTGCCTTTCATATGCATGTATGTGATCGTATGTTATCTTGTAGAGGCAGATTAAGATTCACTTTCGCGTAATAAAGTATGGCCCGAGTTGCCTGTGAAAGCCAATCGGTCAAAAACTAATAAATAGAAGCGTTCTAAATGGCTCTACTAGTTCCACCCACTATTTCAGAAATCGAACTACATATGAGTGCAAAACATGTCTTAAAATTATGCATAAATGACCACCCCTACCTTACTTTTACATCTAAACCCTTACGAATTTCTCACATAATCATATTAGCACTTTAGAAAGAGACAGTGATCGGTTTTGGGACCAAAATCAGAACGAAAAGTCGTTTTTTTCAGGGGTGTCCGAAATTACCCCAAAACACGGGGTAATTTCGGACACTGCTTCGGACCCTCCACTGTAAAAACGGTGAGGTGCAAATATTTGAAATTAGCGCCAAATCGAAGCTTAAGGTGCGTAGATGATAAATTTTAACCCTCAAGTCCATGACAGCACCACAACTTTCACAATTTCAAAACAACCTCTCAAAAGTGTCCGAAGTTACCCCGTTTCACGGTACTGGTCGGTACGCTCCTGCACTGACAAACTAAGTGTGCCCACACTCTCATTCCAGGAGCGCGACATCACGTTCGAACGAATGGGACAAAATGTCACGTTGCTTCGAGCATTGTGCCTCATTCGTTTGAATGTGAAGGCGCGATCCGCATCTAAACGTACGTGACACAATGCTAAAATGAACGTGACATTTGGTCACATTCGTTTCAACGTGATGCCACGCTACTGGAATGAGAGTGTATGCAAGGTGCTATGAGTGAAATCAGTTCTCACTTTGAAGTGAGTGAACAGTTTTCAGTGTGTGTGTGTGTGTACTATGGATTATGTATGGACTCTCAGACTCGCATTGATTTTTTTCCCTCCTTTTGACTTTTTATTGACTTTTTATCCTTTGCTTGCGTAGATTTTAAGCAGCAATAATATGTAGTATTTCCTCTGTATCGATGTGCCACAATATTCACTATTGAGACTAAATTGTCATCAATTGACTATTTTTCAAGTCAATTGCGTATTGACTCTTTGACAGTAGCAAACTAACTTTAAATCAATAACGAACAGAATCGTACATAGATATTGAGGAAATAGTACTTTTTATTGCTGTGTTACAAACTATTTAAAAAAGATAAAAAGTCAATAACACTCTGAGTGTGGACATGCAGATAAAAGGCAAAACAAACCCGTGTCCCAGTTGATGGCGACATCGAGGTTGTCCTCCGCTCGCTTGAAGTACCGCAGCATGTTGGTGTGGTTCCACGAGGAGTCCCCCGTCAGCTCGGCCCACTGGTCGTAGTCCGCGTCGTTGCCCCGTATCACCATGAGGCCGTTGACGGAGCTGCCGCCGCCCAGGACGCGCGGCACTTGCAGGGCGCAGCCAGTGGCGTTGCAGTTCTGAGGCTCAGCCGCGGCCTGTAGCGTCAGAGAAACAACGAAGTCTCAACAAAGAAAAATTACTCTGAAAAAAAAATGTTATTGCCACTGTATGAAAAAAAAATTTGATAGCTTGGATTGATTGATAAAAGAGACGACAATTTTTATCACTTTCAAATGATGACAATTCATCATGCCGTATTTACTATCACAGTCTCTTTCCACAGTCTCGTATTGACTTCATATCTCTTGCCATAAAGTTTTTTGTGCAAACGTAATATGTACTATTTTCTCTTCAGCTATGCACTATTTTGTTCGTTGTATAATGTATTTAGTCCATTAAACCTGACTTTTTGTCATTTGCAACGTACTTCAATTTCAATTTGACCTATTGACAATTTTATCTTTTTAACGATAAAAATTGTGCAAAGTTAAAGAAAATAGTACATTTTATGTTTGCTCAAAAAAAGTCATCAGCAAGAGAGAAAAAAGTCCATATAGATCTGAGAGTGAATCTCATTTTGCTCCGTCTTCTAATTGTTGCTGAAACCGATTGCTACCTGCAAATTTTGAACAAGCTCCGATCGAAGATTGGCGACGGCGTACCCTGGCACCGTGGCTTCTGCCGGCTGCGTGCCGCCACGCTCCAGCAGCAACACGCGGCGACGGCCGTCCTCAGAAAGTCTGTGGAGGAACAATGAATGATGGCTGAAGGCACTTAGACTATGCACATAGATTTTTAGCAGATGATACCTTTACTTAAAAACATACCTAAAACTACAAGACACATAAAGGTGTCAGCTAGCTTTTACTCGAGAGTCCAAAAACCAAGAGCGTATCCTAACAATATAATAGGGGCTGGCTGCCGGGGCGGGCTGGTGCGTCTGTGCCTGCCTGCCTGGGGCGCAGCCTGCGCGGAATTCAACAATACCTCACTCAAAAACTGAGATTCTTGGAATAAGATAGGCATACTTATCTTTAGTATATTTTAGTCTAAAATACGAACCTAGTATAATATACTTGAAATAAGAGGAAAATAGTCTTAGTATATTATTCTTATGCGACACTCTTAGATTAAGAATGTGTATTCTTGTTTTTAGTAGGCGGTTTTCTCCACTCATATTCTAAACTTTAGTATATTTTTCTCGCATAATGCTGGTCACCAGCTTCATCAATTCAACTTCCTGGTTCCGTGGAATATCTTAAGTTTGCACCTGGGTCCCTCTGACCTCGCGTCGGACCTTTAAGTCAGAGTGCCCACATGGCCAACCATCACAATCAAAAATTCATCTCGCAGTCACCATTGCTGGTGCTGCTGACTGGAGTGGCAGAGCCCCTGAACCCTATCAAGCGACGACCCGGAGCCGTGCGTGAGAGCGAACTTTTACTCACATTTATTGAGCTAATATTGAAGCGATAGAAATCAATCTTGCCGTGGCAGAGTCATTGCACCTCAAACGTTTATTCTGTATTGGTTTGTAACAAGAAGGACACCTTATTACGGCTGCAAAAGCACTTTTTAACCCAAGACGTAAATAGAGCGACACTAGCGCCACCTAGCGGATGATGACAATACTATCCATTTTATAGCTCTAGTATATTTGTTTGGCTCCCCGACTGCACATAACAAAAGTGTAACTCATTAGATTACTAGTATTTACTTTGCTAATTTCAATATGGTAGAAAGATTTTGAAAAGTAGGAAATATATAATTAAGCACTAATACTTTTTATGGATCTGTGAAACTTAAAGTTGCATTAAAGTAATTCTTTTCACACTTGTTGTAGTCCCTAAGACAACAATCGAAACAGTTGTACTTCTAATGATCATGGAAAATTTGTAAAGTGTAAGATTTAACTTTTCTTTTGGACTTTCACGACAAAGTCAGTTTACGTCAACTTGTCGCAGACTTTTGGTCACTTTGTCTGAGGGATTTACTTGAAATGACTTCAATTCTGAAACAGAATTCCACTTGTGGTATAGCCTCCAGTGTCAGTTTTTACACCCCTCAATCATTGCCAATGTTTTACAAATTTTGGGGGAGACGACAAAAAATTTTCTACGTAAACCTCAACCGTTTAAAAACTGATGAAGCTTCAACAATAATTCTGGGTTCATCTCATAATAAACTAATATTTTAAAAGATTAATTATTTGAAAAGGAATAAATTTAAAACAAACCTGAATGTCTATCCAAGGACAACAGTAGTATTTCAACTTAGTTGGCAGTGAGTGTGTAGCATAAGTATACAAATTTCTAAGGACACATTGTACAAGTTATAATGCAGACTTTCTAGTTATGAGAATAAATACTGAATGTTAGTATATCGATAAGAGGATTTCTTTAGAGTATGTATTAGTATGGAAATATACTAGCTTTGAGAATATATACTAAAAGTTAGTGTACTGATTAGAGGATTTCTTTAGAATATGTTTTAGTATGGATATATACTAGATCCAAGAAAGAGAGTTTTTGAGTGCTTCTCGGTAGGGCCAGTTGGGGTAATTATGGGACACGGGGTAAAAATGGGACTGCTGATTCTTGGACAAGAATCGAGATTTTAGAACTTGTGCCGTAGCAAATGTTATTTTCTCGACAAAAACATCACATTTGGTATGTCATGCGTTCAAAAATGTCAAATTTTGACTAAGAATCAGCTGTCCCATTTTTACCCCGTGTCCCATAATTACCCCAACTGACCCTACAGCGCCAGTGGCACCGGGCGTAAACAATGGCACCCCCTCCTCGCGCGCGACGGCCTGCGCGCAACATTGACAATCCCTCCCCGCTACAGCGCAGAGGCACCGGGTGCTCGCAATCCAACGGGCACGGCGCGGCGGTGCAGCCACGGCACAAAGCACTCAGTTTTTAAATACTATCTTTGGAATGAGCCCATACTACCCCGTAGAAGAAAACCAAACGAGTATCATCTGCTTTCATTAACGTTCGTTGAATGAGATTTTTTTAGGATCAGCCTTTTGTGAATTGTGGGACTTAGAAGACCAAAAGTTTAGTCTAAGGTGCCTTAACACAAATTCTGCTGAGGCGTTCATAAACTAATTCGTCTCAGGGACCAAAAAAGTTGTATTACATCCTCAAGCCTTGCACGGTCTTGCAAACTTTCATTTTCATACGGACGTTAAGATTAAGATCTTAATCTACGTCCGTACGAAATTTCTTGCCTGGAGAAACCTTGAGTCCCCGAATATCGTAGGTGGTTGCCCCCTCGGAACACACTAGACCGTAGTGTGGCTGAGACGGATCAAACACCCCTGCGGGAAGAAGAAGCAGGCCACCCACTTCCACTCCAAATCCAGTGGCAAGTTTCCTCGCCACTGGAGTGGCGTCTTTTCCAAAGGCTTGGAAAGCAATACCCGTTCACAGAAAAATAAATGTGCATACAATAGTTTCCAGTGCTTAGGATCCCCAGTTCAAATCACAGCAATTATACTATGAAAAGTAGAACTGGCCAGTAAAGTACAAGACCTGCTTCTGTATTTTCAGGTTACGTGTCAATGCCGCTAACCAACTATTGAATCACTTTGGTTTGGCCAGCGATTCCTGAGACACTTGGAAAATGGTACTCACATTAACACAAAAAGCTGGATATCACTGAGTCACTCTCTCTTGATAAGGGGTTGACTCAGCAAGGGGTCTCAGTCCATTCTCAAATCAGGAATACTTGAGCTAGCCTCAGAGCCCTAGCCTGGCCCTGCCGCATCACGCCGCTCCCTCTTCAAAATCTTCCTCAGAACAACACGTGAATAGTTTTGAAATGGCCCGAGAGCACTCAGGCCTTTCGAAAGTACTGCGGCACGATAAAACATGACAGACACACACTATCGTTGACCGCGGCGGGACGAAATGCACACAAAAGTAACAATTTGAATGTTTCGTTTGTCTAAGAGGAGTAGCCATGTTTACTGCTTTTGTTGTTTTGCTATTGTTGATTGCTTATGCGCCCTAACCTGTTGAGTGCGAATGACACGTAGAGGGCGAATAACATATTGCGTGCGAATAACATGTTATTCGCCCTCCACGTGTTATTCGCACTCAACAGGTTAGGGCGCATTCCTGATTTGAGAATGGACTGAGACCCCTGGCTGTGTCAACCCCTTATCAAGAGAGAGTGACTCAGTGATATCCAGCTTTTTGTGTTGATGTGAGTACCGTTCTCCAAGTGTCTCAGGAATCGCTGGCCAAACCAAAGTGATTCAATATCAGCGGCATTGACACGTAACCTGAAAATACAGATGCAGGTCTTGTATTTTACTGGTCCAGTTCTACTTTTCATAGTATACACTCTCATTCCAGGAACGTGACATCACGTTGAAACGAACGTGACAAAGTGTCACGTTCGTATGAGCATTGTGTCACGTTCGTTTGAATGTGAACAAGCTGATTTTTGGCCAATTCATACGAATGTGACACAATGCTCAAACGAACGTGACATTTTGTCACGTTCGTTTCAACGTGATGTCACGTTCCTGGAATGAGAGTGTAATTGCTGTGATTTGAACTGGGGATCCTAAGCACTGAAAACTACTGTATGCACATTTATTTTTCTGTGAACGGGTATTGCTTTCCAAGCCAAATTATTGCATTTCTTTTGCAGCGCCAATTTTTGGCGTTCTGGTCTGTGGTGCTCTGGGGAATGGAACGCAAATTTTGGCGCTCTCTGTGAAACGCCAAAATTTGTCATGGAATCCGGGAACCAGGGACGGAACGCCAAATTTTGGCGCTTTGGAAAAGACGCCACTCCAGTGGCGAGGAAACTTGCCACTGGATTTGGAGTGTCCCCAACGGCAGGCGGCCAAAACGCCAGACGCGTTTTGAGCTGCAGAGTCGCTAAATGGGACTCGAACCGAGCGTGTGACCCACCAATGGATTCCTCGTTCGGAGAGCAAGCCATTGGTGGGATCAAACGTTCGGTTAGGATCCCATGTAGCGACTCTGGAGCTCAAAACGCGTCTAGAGTTTCGGCCGCCTCCGCCGGTCTTCTGGCCCACTGTCCGCTCTCACCTCGCCGCCAAAACGCAGCCGGCAGTGCCCCCGCCCACCACCACCACGTCGTACTCCTGGGCGTCCCCGAGGCCGCCGCCCGTCGCGGACAACGCCGCCCGCCGGCGTCGCTCCGACTCTTGGCCCGCGTTGATGACGCTCACGAGGAGGGTCACGAAGGCGGCCAGCTGCGAGGCGGCGCACTCCGCCGGGAACAGGGGCGCGGCTGCGGGGCTCCTCGCCAACTCCATGGTACACTGTTAAAAATCCGCAGTAATATTACAACACAATCACCTGCTAGAGTGTAGTTAAATTACAACGGTTGATGTGTGGTGTCTAGACGGGAAATTTATCAATAGACAACTCTTTTGTTGTATTACAACTATCTTGTCAGGTAACAAATAATGCCATTAAAAAGAGCTGTGTTGTCATCACAACACAATGTGACCAACAAAGATGTGGTTTAAAAAAAATCGAAGACTTAACGGAAGTCTTGTCGTACTACAATCGATTCATGAGAAAACAGCACCGAGGGGTACGAGGTGTTTGTAATATAACAAGATGTGTTGCTAACGAACCTCACAATAAAAGTGTCGCACAGCTACAACAACTTTTTTGACAGCGTATTGGCCCTGCGTTGCACTACACAGTTATGCACCGTAACAAATGCATGCTCGGAAGTTGCGTGGTACCTACACTCTAAATGTCTTACGAAGAAATTTCCCATAATACGAAGGAAACGGCGCAAGCATAATACGAAGGTGGTTTTTCTTCGTATTGCGAAGGTTTTTCTTTGTATCTTACAATAAAAACGCTAAAAAGATTCGTATAACGAACGAATATTGCTTCGTATTATGCTTGCGCCGAATTCACTGTAACATGCGAATAACATAGGCCAAATTTCATTCTAAGACATTTAGAGTGTACACACACACAAACGCGTACTTGCCCAGGCCCAAGTACAAAGTTACAGTTACTTGGCAAGTACACGCTTGCCAGGCGCGGTTTAAGAAAGGGGAAAGCCCCCCCTCCTCCCGCAAGATTCCCTTAACGAATGATAGTAGGCAACCAGCATCACGTGCCCCTGTAGGTGGGCAAAATATACAAAAATCACCCTTCACTGATAAAAATTTTGTCGTAACTTAGCGACACATTTATCGCTAACTTTTTTAGTGACAAGATTTGTTGTGGAACGAATAGCTTGTTAAAGCGTAGTCGTGTTGGAACTAAGGGATAAATTCACAACAACTAACTTGTAATAACGCACCAACAATAACACATCAACGACAAGTATTGAAAGTCCAAAAGAAATTTTTTAATGTCTGCGACAATATTCATAGAGTACTTTTGTCGCTAAATTTATTTTGCATGTTTTTTTTTTTTTAACAATAGTAATTTCCCCATGACTTAGAAGAACAAAATAGATGATTATTCATAATATGCTATAATTGAGCAGATAATTGCAAAAGATGTTGTTTCCACACAAATTGTATCGTAAAGAGTGATAACAAGAATTTTGTTCTTCAACGACAAAATGTCGCTTACTAAACTCAACGACATTTGTTTTGCTTTGGTTCATGATGAAATTCTATGTTTTGGAACGACTAAATTTTCACTCATCTAATTGTTTCTGTACAACCATTTTTTAACAGTGTTCTGTTCTGGTCGGGAGCTCCTTAAACCTCGCCTGACACTTGCAAACGCATGCTTAGCGCTGTATGACTCCGTCGCACAGGCATTTGTAAGCCTTTTCTTGCCAAGAATGCATGTAGAAGTGTGTACTATGGCCTATATGTTTGCAGCTGTTTGCAAGCATACATAATAAGTTTTTAAACTTAATGTTATGACCAACACTGTTTGACCAACGCTGCGTTCATAACGTAACATGAGAAAAAGTTCGCTAAAGGCTAAAGGTATGGACTGTTGCAAATAAAAATTCAAGAAGCTAGAAACTTAACTTATTCTTTTTAAAGTAATTCATGGTTAAAACTTGAACGCCTACGATACGCCATGATGCCTTTTCGAGGTAAGTTAGGGCTTCCTACTTTTAATTCGCACTAAGAAATAAAACGCTAGGTAGGATCTTCGGAGTTCACAGAGTCCACTTGCCCTGACGGGTCGTAAAGGATTCCCGCGGAAGTGGCGCTGTCACAAAAGGCCAGGCAGGGCCAACGCGGCGGCAGATAGCAGCTCACGCCGAGGCGGTTGGAGCACTACTGTGGGCACTGCCGCGTCCGTAACGCCACGGCGTGGGAAAGCAACGACAAGCCGCGATAAGCACAGGTGTTACGCCCGGCAACTGGGCAGCCTGTTAGTTTGGCGCGACGTTTCTCGCTGCCTAGACAGTTTTCCCTGAACGATTACCGGTGGATTGCTGAGCGCACACTGAAATCGAAAGTGTGGTGAAGTTACAACCACATTTGGCTGTGGTGGGACCAAAAGTGTGGTTACCGCATTCTACCACACGTACAAATGTGGTAAGAATTACACCCCTTCAAATAAGTGGTGTACAAGCCTCACGAGAAGAGTTCCGAGAATTAGAAAACAAGCAGAAGTAGCAATTCTTTTTTATTGGAACTCGGTAGGTACACAAAATAAAGGATCACAGTGGCATGAACTCCAATACATACAAAACCACAGGGTTAATAAGGACTTCCTCCAAGAGATCAATCTTAGCAAAGAAGAAAAAAACTGAAGTGATCGTGCAACGCACTGAATTACAAACCGCTAATTACAAAATAAACATGCCACGATTACAATTGCATTAGTACTCGTCGCAATTCAAGCTATATCAGCAGAGCAATGCCCGCGTACAACCCGTGAACAATGTCTAGAACGGACACAGCCCTGAAGTACACTTTAGAGGGATGATAAGAACGAAATGCACGTAACTTGGTTCAATCTTGTTGGCCCTTTTAGGGGGGGCATTTTTATCCATGCAAAGATGCTTGTCCAAGCTCCGCACAATGCTGTGCACTAATAACTACAAATTACGCGCGAACGTGCGAAACATGAACACAATGAGTGACGTTGTAAACGGTCGACGTAAGTAATAATGCATGAATAATAGAGCACTCAAGAGCGCACATAAACACATGCCACACACTTAAATTCGCTGAAATGAATAGGATGGGAATGTCAGGCACAGAACAATGCACCCGGCGCCTCGCAGCAGTCGACCGCTGCCCATCGGGTGAGTCCTGCAGTGAGTCCTAGTCGTCCTCATCGGGACTCTCCTCGCCCACCTCGTCGTCGTCCTCTTCGTCCGACGAGCCCCCTTCGCCCATCGTCAGGCAGCTGCTGTCGTCGTCGTCGGAGGCCTCGTCGGGCGACTGGTCGTCCGAGTCGCCGTCGTCGTCCTCCTCGTCCGACGAGGTGGGGTCCCGCTCGTGCGACACGCCCTTCTCGACGTGCACCTCGAGGCGGCGGCCCGCCGCGGCGAAGCGCAGCTGGATGGCGCGCGCCGCCTCCTGCAGCCGCGCCGCGCTGCTCAGCAGGTCCGGGTCCAGCCGCAGCGAGGTCAGGCTGGGGGCGTGCGCCGGCGTGATGTCGTCCAGCACCTGCACGGACAACCACTGTTAAAAGTACCGCAGATACGGATGGCCCGTGCAGCGTGTTTATTTCATAACTGCAGAACGGGCCAATAAGGACTGAGAACTTTTAAGGGGGCTTATGTAAACAGCACTTTGTAAAAAAATTTTGTTTTGATGTAGACGGATCAAGATTTTACAATTTCTGTGTTAAAACCCTTTCAGATAATGGAGTAAGCTTCATTTTGGTCTAAAATTAAGGGACTTAGGACATTTTTGGGAAATTTAGTCGAAACATTTAAAATTTTGGTTCTCGTAAGATTTTGTTCGCCTACTTGCTCGGATGTGAGGGGGAAAAATCAGGGAGAATCATCCCTAATAGTGTCATAGAATTGACTAGAATGGGCGTTTTAAGGGGAGGTTCTACTGAAAATCTTACTTTCTTCAAATTGAGTCCCACTTTGTATGTTCATTGTAAATTTAAAGTATTTTATAGTAAATAGTAAAATATGAAGTTTGGAGGGGAATACCTAGCCCCAAATCCAGTCGAAGAGGAATTATCTGCTATTTCCAGTCGTATCTTGAAAAATTCTCCTACGCAAAGTTTTTCAACGTAAACTGATGTTCTGGGCATTTTTCACTTTTTTGGTTCATAATTGATAAACCGTGGCATTAGTAACATACTGGGACCATTGCAAAATCATAAGCTGTGTTTTCAACACAGCATGTCACTAAAATTTCAAGAAAATGGTCAAAATCCTGATATTTTAGTGTCTTTTTTTCTGATAGGCGGTGCCAAAATAAATTTGTTGGGTCTCATGTCTTGGTGATGCCACGCTTTATTGCATGTGTGCCAAAGAAGTGAAAAATGTCTAGAACATCAGTTTACGTTGAAATACTGTGCGTAGGAGAATTTTTTAAGATATTCCTAAAATAGGCTGAAAAAACCTCTTCGACTGGATTTGGAGGAAGGTATTGGGCTCTAAATTTCATGTTTGACTATTAACTATGTAGTACTACACATATGCAACAAATGTTAACACTAGGGCTCAATTTGAAAAGTGCCATTTTTTCAGTAGAACCTCCCCTTAACTACAATAATTTTCAAGGAAAAAACAAAAAACAATTTTTTAACAATTTTTTGAAAAAAAGTTCCGCCAAGGCAAGCTTAGCAAAGCGGTCTTGCCGTGGCCCGGCAGGCGAGGCCGGGCAGAGAGGGGGCAAGGAAGGGAGGGGGTGGCTGTGAGGAGTGGGGACTGGCGCGGCGTGGCGGCGCAGGACGACGACGGACGACGGAACCAACACGACCATGCAGTCCCCTCCGAGCGCGCTGAATGGATGGATGGATGGATGGGATGGATGGATGGGATGGGATGAGTGGGATCGGATGCAGAGCTAGAAGCGGTAGCAAGACCGCTTAAAAAATTGTTTTCCTTTTTTTTCTTGATAACTATTGCAGATGAAACGCCCATTCTGGTCAATTCTATGACACTACTAGGGATGAGTCTCCCTGAATTTTCCCCCACAGATCTGAGCAAGTATGCCAACAAAATATTAGGAGAACCAAACTTTTAAACGTTTCGACTAAATTTCCAAAAAATGTCCAGTCACTTTACTTTGAGCCAAAATGAAGCTTATTCAATTATCTTAAAGGATTTTAACACAGAAATTATAAAATCTTAATCCGCCTACATCAAATATTTTTTTAACGAAGTTCTTTTAACATCTATGAGACCCCTTGAAAGTACTGCCCGAGGGGGCAACCACTCGGGAAATCCTGTGTCCCCTGGAGCCCTTGAAATCTCAGGGAATCCGAAATCTTTCCCCCAAAAGGCAGAACACATGTGTAAAACTGGAAGAAATCTAGCGCTGACCTTGGGCTTCCACGCCGTGTCGTCGTCGGAAAGCTGCAACTCCTCCAGCTGCGGCAGGCTCTTCAGGGTGGCCTTGAGCTCGCCGGCGAAGCCCGCGCAGAACTCCACGGACAGGCTGGTGAGCTTGCGCATGCCGCGCACCGCCTTGTACACGAGCTGCACCGCCTGGACGAGTAGTGAAGACGTTGCGTCAAAGCTTGCCCTTTCGTAGCACTCGAAGCACTCAAAACGGCTTCTCAATTTTGAATGCTTAAAACCCTACAAAGTATTTCAAACACATGAAAGGTACATTGTACCTACATAGGTTGAACCTGTGTAGTTTGCTAGACGAAGAAATCGAGGAAGAAATAGTTCCTAAATGACGCAGTACGTATATTCTATGAAAGCTTATGGATACTCAAAAAAAAGTTAGCTAAAGGGTAAGTTTCTCTTTAGAAGGCCCAGAACAGTTTGTAAGGTTTTCAGAGTGTCTGGCGAGCCAACTTGCCCCTGGATTGGCAGTAAAAACCGTGTCTGAGACTTGGATTCGAGAGAATTGTTACCTGATTAGTGATTCCGCCGTACTTGAAGAAGCTGAGGGAGAGGCTCTCCACGCGGTTCCTCACGGCGGGCACAGCCAGCAGCTTGGCGACGGCCTCGATTTCCCGGTCCGCGCGCCCAGCCAGTATCAGGTTAGCCGCGAGGATGGAGAGCTTGGTGACCGCGGTGCACCGCTCCAGCTGGGCATCAAAGTGAACAGGGGTTTAATGAAGGCGTTTCGAAGTATGCTTACACTGAAGTTCGAAGAAAAAGACATCTGACCTATTTTGGGTGATACAAAAAGTATGACCGAAAAACGGTCATACACAAATGTATGACCGAAAAAGGGTCATACTTAGATGTGTGACCCAAAGAAGATCACACATCAGCGAGACTGGCTATTGTTTAACGGGAATATATCAGCCTATACCTGTGATACACTATGAAGTATGACCCTTTTTCGGTCATACATCGAAGTATGACCTTTTTTCAGTCTTACATTTCAGTATGACCCTTTTGCGGTCGTACATTTCAGTAAGACGGTTATGGGGGTCAAAAGTCTGGCCTTTCTTTTTTCGGTGTACGAATTTGAAAGTTGACAGTTCTACACACTAAGCTCTTCTGCAGGGATCCTTAACTACGTCATAAGAGCATCATAACGTTATGATAAGAGTTAAAGTTATTACACTAAACATCCAACATCTTTTCAAAAGGGTAGGTTATTTTTTTCCGTCTCGAATTTGTGTGGATATACTTTTGCAAGTACTTTCATAAGTCCGTACCCTTAACCTTTAGCGAACATTGTCTTGTGTTACGTTAAGAAAGCAGTGTTAGTAAAATGTTAAGTGAAGTTAAGGATCCCTGCTCTTCTGTCCCGTACCTGGGCCGCCTCCTTCCAGCAGGGCACCGTCACGTCCACCAGCTTGCCGCACTCGGCCAGGGCGGCGACCACGGCCTTCCTGTCGTCGGCGTGGATCGAGGAGATGGCGACCACCTTCGCCTTGCGCAGCGTGGCGGCGTTGGCGCGGATCAGCTCGGGCAGCAGCGTGCGCTCCTCGCCCACCGTGAAGGCCGCCGACAGCGTCTCCAGGCGCCACTTGGCCGCCTGCAGCGGGAACCCCACCGCGTCCTTCAGCTGCGAGCAAGGGGAAACAAGTCCAGCCAAATTTGTACACCGAAATTCGTCAAATAAGTAAAATTTACTGACATTCGTTCAAATTCATCGGAATTCGACTGAAATTCATCGAATTTTGTCTGAGATCCATCGAAATTCGACTAAAATTTATTAATTGTGTACACCGAAATTCACGATGATTTCCCCAAGGCTGGAAGCAGAGGCGTGCACTGAGAGAAACTTTCGAACTATTTCAGACCCACCACCAAAGAAAAGCAGCTTGTTATAACGAAGTATTTTGAATATACATGAGCTCACAAAGAGAACACTTTGCAATTTACGAACTATTTCTTCGAATAACAAAGTAAATCAGTTTGTGCTATGTATACTCAAAATCGTAAGGTTTAAAGGGGGGCTCATGTATGTTAGAAGCACTTAGTAAAAACAATAAGTTAGTGTAGAAGGATCGAGATTTCATAATTTCTGTGTTAAAACCCTAGACTATTGAGCAATCTTCATTTTGACATAAAATGACTGAAGGCGAAAAATAAGATAGACCCATACTTATAGTGTCATAGAAGTGACTAGAATGGGCTTCAAGTCTGAAATGATTTTCAAGAAAAAAAGATTTGTTCAAAAAAATTTTTCTCGCACTTTAACGGCACTCTTCAGGCGTGTGAATAATGAGTTCACGTGTCAGGAAAATCTTTCGGCATCACTCCCGAGTAATGCCCACGTCCACACTATGAAGCATGCCTCGGAAAGTTTTGATGCATTCATGTCGACTCAGCTGAGTACATGGTTTGCGCGCTACTGGGAGCGTGCACTGATTACACTGCTGACAGTGAGTGGCGGCCCCGACTAGGTGTGCGCCGCGGCGAACACACTGCACTGCAAGACAACCACGCCCTTTACGGCATTAACGGTCTTTTGTGCCCTTTAAGGCCGAAACTGGTAGAGGACTCAAAGGCGAAATTTTAATATCCTATCAAAGGCATTAACGCTCCATGCCTTTCCAGGGGTGTAAATCTTTAAAGACGATAGTTTCAACGTGATAACTGACAATGGAATGAGAGTGTAACTGCACTGTAAACGTCTTACGGTGAAAGGCTGAACCAACATATTATGGTGGAGATTTTCTCCATAATACCAACAGAATTCGTCAAAATATCTAAAATGTACAATGAGTTCTCAATGGTAGGGTTATGAAGTCAGCTGCACCACCATGAGATGGAACATTTTCGCCATAATACGGAGAATCTTCACTGCACAGCATTTAAAGTGTGGTGAGGTGTCACGAGTCGGGGAACCGGGTCTAGGAACGAATTTATAGAAGTTCCGGCTTGTGGCATGCATTTTGACAAGGGGGGGGGGGGTACATTTGATAGGACCACAACTGAAGGTAGGGTTGGAAGTTGAAGCACGAGACGTACTTTCAGCACACACTGCAAGAAAAAGTGAACAAAAGTACAACAAAAACTGTACAATAGAAGTAAAACAGGGATTGTAGAAAGTACAACGAGAATTGTACAAACCACAACGAGCCCTGGACTGCACGGCACTCGTCATGCCGTTTCCATTGTACTTTGTACAACAAGTGTTGTACTTGAAAAGTACACTAAATACCTGATAAAAAAATTTGCCAGAAATTTGTGTACATTGATGTGGTTATTTCCTGCAGTGGCAGTACCACCTCACCTTCAGGCAGTCCCCGGGTACGTCGAGCGTGGTGACGCCCGTCTCCTCCACGGCGGCCCAGAAGCGCTGCAGGGCGTCCGGGGTTTCGTAGACGGCGTGCTGGTACGGCGCGGCCACGGACAGCTTCTGCAGGTGGCCCTTGACGTGGCCCAGCAGGGCGATCATGTCCTCGCGGCTGGCCACGCCAAAGGTCAACACGAGCTCCTGGATCCTGGACGGGGCCGTGGGCAGCGCGCCCAGCACCTGTGTGGCATTTGTACATACACTGATAAAAATTTTGTCGGAACTTAGCAACACATATGTCGCTAATTTTTTTAACGACAAGATTTGTTGAGGGACAAATAGCTTGTGAAACCATATTCGTACTGAAACTAAAGGGTAATTTCACAACGACTAACTTGTTATAACACAGCAACAGACCACCATCAGAAACAAGTCGTTGACCAACATAGTCGGAAAAAGATTTTGTAATATCTGCGACAAGTATTCATTAAGAACTTTTATCGCCAAGTTTGTTTTGCATGGTTCTATTTTTAACAATGGTAATTTTCCTATGGCTACAAAGAACAAACTAGATGATTATTCATAATATACTCCAATTGAGCAGATAATGGCAAAATATATAGTTTCCACACAAATTGTATCGTTGAGTGTGATGACAAGAATTTTGTTCAACGACATTTGTTTCGCTTTGCTTCAAGAAGAAATGGTATGTTATGGAACGACAAAATTTTCACTCATCTGACTGTTTCGTTCCAACCATTTTTAACAGTGTATAACAGCGTATCCACCGTGGGATTCCCTGCGAAGATACGTAGTTCCGTCAGATGATGACTCACCTGCCGCAGGGCCTTGCGGGTGCGCGCCCGGTTGCCCAGCGACAGCTCCAGCGCCTCCAGGCAAGGCGCCTCCTCAGGACCAAAAGTCCAGCGGGCGGATCAGTTCGCGTGGCACTAGCCAAAGTCGACCACTCCATCCTGGACCATGGGCAGCCTGCAGCACGACTGGCATGTGGTAGCATACACTGGAAGCAGGAATTGCAACACAATGTTAATTTTAACGACAAGATTTGTTGTAGACTGAGCAAAAGCTGTGAAACTATTCGTATGCAAACAAAGGGTAATCACAAAGATATTGTTTAACACACAACGACAAAGAAAAATCTACCAACATAGTCTAAAAGATTTTGTAATTCACAGTATAAGAATTTTATGCAAATTGTTTTGCATCGGTTCATTTTTAACAATGGTAACTTTTTTGGCTAAAAAATACTATGATTTTGGCAGTATTTGAGCCGATGTATAATTTCCACAAATTGTGTCCTTGAGTTGATGGAAGAATGCTTCAAGAAAATTTCCTTATGCTTAAAGAAATGTTTTCATGAAACAAAATTAAATTATGTTTGTTCAACATTTTTAAAGTTATAACATATATGGATTCCTCAAGATACATTAATGATGACTCACTCCCAGGTTTTTCCCAGCGACATAGGCTCAGGCAGGGCCCCCCAGACCAAAAGACTCCAGTCGCTATCACCTTCGAGGGATTGAGCCACCGAAATTTATCGCCTCACCTGGGGGCCCACAGTTAGCGATACGACTGGAGGGCGAGTCTTTGAGATGCACAACAAAAAATGACAATTTCGTGTGCACTAAAAACCTTAAAACTAATTCACTTTAAACAGCATTTATAATGACAAAGTATTTTAAGCACACATACGCTTACAAAGAAAATACTTCTTAATTAACGGACTGTTTCTTCGTATAACAAAGTAAATTAGTTTGTACTAATGTATCCTCAAAATACTTTCGTAAGGTTTAAAGGGTGTGCTCACAAAATTTTGAGTGATTTCGTGTGCTTTGCTCTGCTCAGCAAAAATTTGGTACTGAGACAAACGGCAGGCACACGCTCCAAACCTCACTAAGTACTTTGAGCATGTGAAAGGAACAAACTATTTCGTTTCTAGTACAAAGAACAAGATCGTCTAAGTAAGCTTACATATACTCAAAACATTTTGGTTTATGGTGACACTTTCCTTCATAACGCTTTTAATACTAGTTTGTTAAGTTTCGAAAGTGTGTCATATAATTTAAGACAAATCTCGTAAGACGTATTCCAAACACGTATTCTTCACACTGAATTCTTGCGGACATTTTAAGGCATAATTATGCATGCACAGATACGTACGCAAGGTGTGAATGATCATATTTATCATTGTGTACGTTTTAAGCAGGAGGATATGCAATGCACACAATATACAGTGATGCACAATATTATGCACAAATTATGTAAGTATCTGTACACGAAAAAGCATAATTAGGCTTAAAAAGAGTTCACAAGAGTTAAGTGTGTAGAGCATCACATCAAAAAAGGAAATTGACATCCCTTGTCAGGGATGCCTGCAGGCTTAAAACCTTACGAGCATAAATAAGGTACAAACTTTCAAGTCTGAAATACGACTTTCGCAATAATTGCGAAGTGTATTTCCTTTCCAAGCTTACTTTCGCTTAAGGGGGCTCATACATGTTAAAAGCATTTTTTTTTTTTTTAAATTTTGATGTAGACGGATTAAGATTTTACAATTTCTGTGTTAAAATCCTTTTAGATAATTGAGTAAGCTTCATTTTGGCTTAAGGGAAAGTGACTTTGGACATTTTTTGGAGATTTAGTCGAAACGTTTAAAATTTTGCTTCTCGTAAGATTTTGTTCGCATACTTGCTCAGATCTGTGGGGAAAAAATCAGGGAGACTCATCCCCAGTAGTGTCATAGAATTGACTAGAATGGGCTTTATATCTGCAATAGTTTTCAAGAAAAAAAATAAAAACAATTTTTTTAACAATTTTTAAACAAATTTTTCAACAAAAATGTTTTTATTTTTTCTTGAAACTATTGCAGATATAAAGCCCATTCTAGTCAATTCTATGACACTACTGGGGATGAGTCTCCCTGATTTTTTCCCCACAGATCTGAGCAAGTATGCGAACAAAATCTTACGAGAAGCAAAATTTTAAACGTTTTGACTAAATCTCCAAAAAATGTCCAAAGTCACTTTCCCTTAAGCCAAAATGAAGCTTACTCAATTATCTAAAAGGATTTTAACACAGAAATTGTAAAATCTTAATCCGTCTACATCAAAATTTTTTTTTAAAAAAGTGCTTTTAACATGTATGAGCCCCCTTAAAGTACGTGGTCAAGTCAAGCAACATTACTTCGTGAGACTTGAATAGTTTGGACACGTACTCAGAGAGAAGCGCAAGGGGAAATAACTCAAGCCAAATTTGTACACCGAAATTCATCAAACTTGAAGAATTCACTGAAATTCATTAAAATTCATCGAAATTCGATTGAAATTGATCGAAATTTGACTGAAAGTTATCGAATTCCGACCGAAATTCGACTGATATTCATTGGATTTGTACACCGAAATTCGCGGTGATTTCCCTTTGGAGTGGCAGATGAGGAAACTCACAGTGCGCTCGCGGCGAGCGTTCTTCTCCGCGCCGAGCTGCCACGCCGCCTGCCGGCACTGCGCGCGCTCCCGCTCCAGGCGCTCGTCCAGCTGGTTGAGGTCGGCGACGGCCGCCGCGAACTGCTCCGTCACCTCCAGGAGCTCCTTCTCGTCGGCGGACTTGTTGGAGCTGTCGGCGCCGTCCTCCCCACCGGCAGCGGAAAGCTTGGCTTCCTTCTTCTCCTCTTCCGGCCCTTCTTGCCGCCGCGGGCTGTAGGGGCGCTCGCACCGGGCTGGGGGCGCAGAGGAACAACAAATGATCACCACTGATATTTTATTACTGCCACGTCCTTTTGGTTAAAACGTGATGTTAGTCACGTTTGTTTAAATGTCATGTCACATTCGTTCAAACGTAACATGCACGCTAAATGGCATGTACCAATTTTGTACGAGACATGACAGTTTTTTAGTGCACACGTACAATTTTCGTACGAAAAACTGCTCCCATCCTAACCCACTGAAAGAGGAATTTTATTGTAATTGTGCTTAGGATTTCAAGAAGAAATCCTTCATTTCTAGAACAAGACATACACGTGGCACGTGCCATTGGTTAGTATTCTTACCTTACTATCGGCCTTCTGCAGTTTCTCCAACTCCGAAAGATTCTTCAAGTACTTCTCTCTGACGCCACAGATTTTCATGAGTTTATTTGCAGCCTTCAGTTTGGTATCAGCAGTCTTCACCATGAGCTCCATCGCCAGCGTCAAGGCGGCCGTGGACATTTTGGAGCTATAGTGCCGAGGGCAACTTTACCAGACCTGGAACAGGATTGACGTTCTGAACCCTCACACCAAGATGCCACCTGCATCACAGCATTGAACAGAATTGAAACCCACAGGGTGTAGAAACATTTCTGCAATCTACAGAGTGCACGATTGACACTTATACAGGAAAATTACCACTAATACAAGAAGACCCTTGAAATATATTTCTAGCGACATAAGTTCTCAACATGTCGCTGACAGTGATAGTTGTCGACTCACGAAACTTGTCTTTGATGAACAACATTTACAGTTGGTCATCGATTTCATTTTGGAGGTGGAATGATAATATGCCATTACAAGTTTGTCGCAGTGAAGTTATCCTTTAGTTCCAATACGGATATCGTTCTACGAGCCAGTCGTTTCAAAACAAATCTAAACGCGAAAAAGAAAACTAATCGCTAGGTTATGACATAAGTTATACGCCTAGAGATGAACTTGATGTAAATGAGTGTACGGTCAAGATCGCGGCTCCATGCTTCCGGTCCAGTCCTGCTGAAATACACTGTACTACCTGCACCGGAAGTGAAAGAGCTTAAGTCCCAAATAAGCTTCAAAGAATGCTCTGACGTCCCCCTCTACTCGTTACCAATGTGGCAAAAAGGTACTGAAAATTCTGTTAACCTTTTCTAGACAGGATTCTCCGTAGCCCTCAAATCAATTTTCTCCATAGGATCTAACAGCATTGTCCGTAGGACCTGGAAGACAGCATCGTCCTACGGAGAAAACTGAACGGTCAAACGGAGAATACTGCAACGTCCTAGGGAGAATATTGACAAAGGGGCTACGGAGAATTACCTCAAGCTGTTTACAAAATTTTCCGTAGCCTTTTGCCACGGTGTGTGCTGAGTGGACCAGCAAGCAAGCACAACAGCGGTTAGAAAATGAACTATTGATCTCGAGCTTACAGGAACGATAGAGGGAATCGTCAGAATGCATTATTGGAGAGAAAGTGCAGTGTAGTCACGAGCGGCAATGGGGTACTTGGGAGAGGAAGTCAAGAGTAAAGAAAGGCGGACTTGACCGAGAATATAACTGCGGAGAGAAATGCCGTTCAGAGTGGACGTTACGTACGACTCCAATAGAGCATACTAGTCGTCGCCGATCTAAGAACAAAAAGAAGAACAAAACCGGAAGCCGGGTAGAAACGGAGAAGGTATCAAGCCCGGTTCCAACGTGACATGTCGACATTTTTATATTTCCTGTGTCAAAAAGTGTTTGAAACAAACGAAAGTGTTTTTGAAGGAGATACGCCACAGAAAACTCAGTCCACTCATAGAAGTCTGAGAGGTTATGTTGCCGGCGCCAGTTCCGGCTTTGTTCTTCTCCTTGTTCTTCGATCGGCGACGACTAGAATACTCTATCGAGAGGCTTGTCTCGGGCAAATCAAGACAGAAGGGTGGCTGCTCACTTCCGGTGAGGACCTTTATCCGAAAGAGCGAAACAGACTGGTGCACTGCTGACGAATCGCCAACAAAACCCGATTCTAAACGGTTGATACTTGCGTAACACACGAATCAGGTAAGCACAGAAGACCGTGAAAGACGACAAAAATTTGTCCTCGAGCCTTCGGTTAACAATAGAAGTACTGCTTCACTTTCAGATCCGTTACTGCTGCTAACGGCTATGTTAAATTAGAAGTGGTGAAATAAAAACCGACCTTAAAGTAAGAAAAGCTGAAGGGAGAAATAATACATAAGCTTCAACGTTCCCCGTGTACCGGTTGGGCACTCTCGCTTCCAGATTCGGCTCTTTCTTCGTGTTGGCTGAATACTTCCGGTTCAAGATGCAGAAAAATACGTTGCGAGATGAAGAACACAAGAGGCGATCGCGACTGAGAATGCTGCTTGAAACTTCCCCGTCTGTTTCGCAAGGGCCTACCTTTCCGCTCTACGCCGACAGTAGAAATCCTTAATAGGGTCCTTCGGAGAAGAGCTGGAGCGGAAGTTGAGAAGAAATCAAGAAGAACAAAGTATGCGAAATGTGTAAGGATCAGCGTCTGCGTCGCCGTTCTGCCGCTTCCCCAGAGTTACACTCTCATACAAGTTCGGCGTTTGTTCTTCGTGATTTCTTCTCAACTTCCGCTCCAGCTCTTCTCCGAAGTACCCTATTCATTGTTAAATTTCCATACCTGAATGATGAGCCGAGGAATGGTGATATGGATGGAACTCTCCGAAACTCTTATCCGTTTGACAGCAGTAGCGTAGGTACGGTACATACGAGTAAGATGACGATTGGGCCTTCGGACTTTGATTTGGCCGGTAGAAGATTTGTAATTGAGACCAATAGGTGACTCCACTGAGTCTTTTAACGGAAGATGAGGTAGAGTTATCACTATAGACAGCTTCTGATCATTAGCGCAACCCAAACGCTGTTTTGACAGACATCGATTTGTTCGACACTGACATACAACGTGATACAACCAGACACGGTCTGGCGTACCTCGCTACTGCTGCGTAGGTTAGTACAGGGTATGGAAAATAAGAATTAAAGGAACTTACATTTCCCAGAAATTGCGAAAATTCGTCTCTTCAAAGCCGACTGATTTCTTTTCCGAACTGTTTCCCACTAAATATCTAATCGAAATATATTTGGCAAAATATGGTGAGTCAATGTGTCTTTCTTAGTTTAGGCCAGATCGCTAGATCTGAAAGTCTCTATAAAATATATTCAGATGGACGTCTCGCTAAAATGTACTCAGACAAATGTGTCTCGCCTGAAAATAGTGAGTCTTTTTTGTCGCCCTGAATGTAGTCAGACTTGAACCAAGTCAACGTCAACAGGGTCCCCATTCGACTCTGGTCGGACCAGAAAGTTTCAGCTTTTCGAGTCGAGACGTTTTATTCTGACCACATTTTGGCGAGACTTTCAGTTCCGTCCAAGACTGGGTAAGACCTTTTGTCTCGTCTCTGGAGTGGCTGGAGAGTCTGACCTTTGCATTTGTAAGTACTGGTGCCACCTTTCCGCCCCCCTTTTTTGGAGGGCACCAGCAGTCCCGGCCCAAGGGCTGTGAAGGTCATAAAATAAGTTTCCTTCCCTCCCTCCCTCCTCCTCTCTTCCCCCCTTCCCCCCACCGGGCAGCCGCCGGAGGGGGGGAGGCCCCCAATTGCTCCCCAATTTAGCCGTGCAGCCGGGGCGACGGATCGGGTGCCCCAGGACGAAGCTCAGTATCGAATTTCCACCATCCCCATGGGGGTAGCAGCCCAGCGCCCCACCTCCCGGGGGCATGGGGCTCCCACGAGGAGCAAACTTTCCAAACCGGGGGGTATTTCCCCCAAATCCGGTTTTTGGCAGATTTTCTCATAACACCTTGACCCCAATAAATGGAACTTCCGAGAACGGTGCGCAAAAACTATTTTTTTTCGGGGTTTTTAGCCCCCAATTTTTGCCTGACTTTGTACCCTTTGGGGGCCGGCCCCTACCCGATTTTCACCCAAAACCCAACTCCCGTTTGCCCGTTCCCCCGAGCCCGTTTACCTTTCCGTTTTTCCCTTATCGTGACATGCGAATTGCAGCCCTGAATCCCACCACCACCATTTCCGACATGGAGCTTGGCATCGTCAACGCCTGCAAGCAGGCCTTCGCCAATGCAGAAACTCGCCTTTGTCTGTCCCACCTCAGGCAGGCTAACTGGAGACGGATGCAGGAGGAAGGCTTGCAGGTCGCGTATCGTGACCCGGAGGATGACACCGTACGCAACGCTTTCAAAGAAGTTGTTGGTCTTGCTTTCGTCCCAGTCGAAGACGACCCAGAAGCTTGCGAAGAGGTACTCAACAACCTGCCGGACCGCATGATTGACCTCGGCGATTACTTCGAGCGGACCTACGTCGTCGGGCGGCGCAGGCGAGGGAACCGACGTCGGCAAGAGTCACCCTTCACTCTACAAGCTGATCGGCGAATTCCAGAAGGAGGAAGCAGACGTGAGGGTCATGATGCAGGAGCTGGATGCGGGGCGCAAGATTCGGCAAGCGCAGAAAAAGAAGTACACCAGGATAAACGACCGGCTGTACCACATCACCGACCGCTACCACGAGTTCAAGACTTCAGGCCGCCTCCTGGAGTATCTGCGTGCCTGTGGCAACATTGTTTCTCTGTAAAAATAAATTATTCTGGGTGAACAGCTTTCTGGGTCAATCACACGTGGGTCAGTTACACCTGGGTGAAATACTTGGGGGTGAATAGCGTATGGGCGAAAATGCTTTGGGTCAATCGCACCTGGGTGAGTGGGCCTAGAACCCATAATTTGACCATGTGTCCAACCATTCAATTTTCAGTGTTAGAACATGCTGAAATTTCGTCGACAATACCTCTGGTGTTTTTGTGCAACGATAATATGTACTCTTCAGTTTTGTTCTTATTGTCTACATTTTTGTGAGTACTTATCGACACAGAAAATTTTCCAAATATTTTGGAATAAGGACGGCATGATGCAGAGGTTGATCTCTCGGAATCAGTTTGAGGTGGCCAAGGAGAAGTTCCTTCGCGTCGAGGACGTTCGGTTCGACAAGGAGCTGTCCGTGACGGGCCTTGCGACGGCGGCGTCCTTGACTGGTGGCCAGGGGCACAAGCGCTGCCAGTGCCAAAAGCGCCGCATAAACAAACGCTGCAAGTGCCGTTCGCCAGGCATCAAGAGCAATAGCAAATACCAACGGTGGATCGTCATGCACAAACAAATGACTGAAAGATATTTATAGATAGGCTAGGGCTCTACTGAAAGAAAGAAATCAATAAACATTTGCCAAACCTTGCCCTTCGCCCCTACAATTATTCTTGATATGTTGGTCGGACCCTAACCGATGCTGGTCGGTTAGGGTCCCCTCAAGCTAACCCTAACCGGTTAGGGCCCGAGGGACTTCAAATTAAAATACCATATCGGACAGTAACCGGGCCGGAGTGGTTAGACCGGACCCTAACCGGCGAACGGGCTCCATGCGGTATCATGTGCAGTAAATTGTTTGTATCGAAGCAGAAAATACGAAATTGTTGTGTGCTGTAACACCTGATTACGGACGAAAAAGTCAATAAGAGACTGAGTGTAAATCTTCACCCCAGTCTAACTCGCTGCGGACCATACACACAACTCGCCCCTCACATAATCATTTTTTTTTTAAATTGCCGCGCGGATCCTGACTTGCGCATTGTTGTCCCGCGCTTTGTTTGACTGGTGGTCTTGGAGACACCGAGGGGCTGCCGCGCACTGTTGCGCTGTGACCAGCCCGAGGGGTAAACAACCCCGAAAGTGTACACCGTTATTTCACCTTATTTCATTGTTATTTCATCGTTATTTCAAGGGTATTTCAACATAATTTCGCGTTATTTCAGCGTTATTTTATCGTTATTTCAAGGGAAATTAACACCAAAAGTCAAAGTGTTTGCCCCGCGGACCAGCCATGACTCGTGTTGCGCTACACTGCGGGGGGCTACCAGCATACTTTTGCTCGACAAGTAAAATTGGGCAACAGCTGGCGGTGCGAACAGTGGAGGAAGTGTCTAGGCCGCCTGGTTGTGGACGACGACGAATTGGTACTTGGCCGAGCAGGCACGTTCCCTCGGGGACTGAAGCAGCAAAGTGAAGCCGGTGAAGCACAGTGATTGTTTATCACTGGACTGTTTATCACTGCCGGATGGATGGGTGGTGGATCAGCACTGGATGAATGGGTGGGTGATGGGTGGGTGAAGTTGGCAGCTCTGAGAAAAAGACATTGTATGAAATCGCGCGTCCGACTCAATTTGAATGAAAGGCGACTTATGTAAACACACCAGGCGAATTTCTCCCGCATGTGACTCAAGAAGTTCTTGAAGGTCTCCTTCGGCTCTCCTTGATCATACACTTCGCGCCACCGTCAATGTGGCCTGGAAGTAGATCAGAGGGGCTGCTCATTCCGCCTTGCCGCCTGAAGAAGCCCTTACATCTGCTCCAGTCCTCCACTGCATTGGTGCAAGCTCCCGTCACGGGGTCAACAAAATTTTCACACTCTGCTTTATAAACAAGATTCATAAGCACGGAAATAATGAAGATGATCTAAGAACACTTACCGCTAAAGAAGGCCCCACGACGACATTCATCACCGCTTCTTCCACATCCTCCATATCAGCTTTGCTGAATGTTAAACTAAAATCATCCTGAAAGACAACGCATTATAAACATTATAATTCAGACTAAAATTATACTCGGTTTGGTAATTTATAAATATCTTACAGCCGAAAGTTTTTCCATCTTGAAAAGTTATTGTGGACACCAAAACAATCGACACTGCGCGGTCACCGTGGCAACAATACACAACTCAAATCGAAGTTGACAATCGATTAGTCGACCATTCCAAAACGGCCTTCACCTTTCATTAAAAAAAAAAGGGGGAATACTGCCAACTGAAAAAGAAAGTTAACATAGACAAAATTTTGTTAGTAACCATTAACCAGACACAATTTGTTACATTTCAAATTATATTAATATGCAAAAAGAAAAAGGGTGCACGGAAATTTAGACAATTGGTTTGGTAAACTAGCGAACGAGCGACGCGAATGTTCTACATAAGATACATTAAAAAAAAAACAACTAACAGACGTTCGCCCGCGCTACGCTGCCATGCAGCTGTCTGGTAATGATGGCGCCAGTGGCGGATCCAGAGGCGGATTTGGGAGAGGCAATGTAGCCCCTTTTCCCTACTTTCAGGGGCAAAGCGTGACTTTTTGATTACCTACAGGGGCTGAGTATGTTTTCTTGCCTAGCTTTCGGGAGTTATCTAAGCGCCGGGCGGGGCAGAACCTGTCCCTCCCCCGTGGATCCTAGCTTGGATTGCGCCATTTTCCTCGTACATACTATGGATAATGTCTTCCTAAGCCATTCAGCTGTCATTTAGCAAACACTGTTAAAAATCCAGCCGTTTTAGAATGGAAAACTTACGCAAAGTTTAAATATCAACCACTGATGTTCACCAACAAGGGCGTAATTTTTATGCCTTTGTTTTATCAGTGCATATTCATCGTTCCGCGGCAAAAAAAGGAAAAGTGTTTTGGCTGCTTACGGCTGATCCGCTATGTTCGAGGATGGAAATTTTTTACAGTGATGGCGTTCACGAAAGGCGCCTCGGCACACTGTGATCGACGGCAGTAACGCCTATCATCGCCGCGGACTTGCAGGTGCTGGAGACGCCGGTGCGGCTGATGCGTGTCCTGTGGGCGTGGCCGGACGAGGGGCGCTGCCAGGCGTTGGCCGCCGCGTCACGCTACTCGCTCACGATGGCCGTCACCACCATCACGCTCACCTCGGCCTTCTACGTCGCGTACGGCGAGTACGACAGCGTCGTCAGCGTCCTGAGCAGTGTGGGCGACGTGGCCTCGGGCATCGTCATCCTCTTCAAAGTGCAGATCGTCTTTGACCACGGCCACGAGGTAGGGCGTCAGTTGGGGTAGGGGTGAATCACTCAGTATCCTGGTGTACACATGAGTAAGGGTATGGTTTTAGTTTTTAGGGGCCTCAAATGGATGAATTTTGTGAGATGATCCTGCACATTCATTATCTACTTGTATTCTCCATCCGCGTTAGATTGAAAGTCTATTAGATCTATTTGCATGCGGTCGTTTAGTTCATGGAATACAAGTGGTTTGACAGTGAGGCCCCTCTTCTTCAACTTCTTCCCCAGGCACGTCGGACACAGAGCCAGGAAGATCTCCACCACATCCTTGCCAACGTTCTTGTAACACCTGTCTGAGTCTGAGTCCTGAGTACAAAGTGGTTGCCCCAGTTACCCGACAATGCCCGACAAGTACCGTCCCTCTCCCCTTTCTCCCGATTTTTTATTTAATTTTTTTTTCAGGCAATGTCTTTTTGGAACCCTAAGATTGCCGTTGGCCATTTCGGCAATAGTAGTTTTCCTACGCAATGTCAGGTGGTAATCTTAGGTTTACCGGCACTTCGAACATTACCGCTAACATATGAAGCAATATTTGTTAGCAGTTTCACTGTTAGATTCAAAGAAAAACCGTCGTAATCCGAAGAAAAACCAATGTCGTATTATGCTTGTTTGCTTCCTTCGTATTACGGCACATTTCTTCAGAGTGTAACGTCCGACAAACAGGCATGCTTAACCTAACATAATTCTCCAAAAGACAAACAAACCAGGGGTGTGTTATAAAAGGATTTTCGTTTCGCACTCTCTAAACCAAACCATAGTATGAACGAACTATTTTTAGGCTGTAATGACAAAGGTAGCTTGTTATTTTTCGAAGGATTTTGGGCCATCACGTAACTTTGATCACGTAGTTAAAAATAATTTTGAGAAAATACGTTTGGGAGGAAAATAAATCGTTCAGGAAAAATTGCTTAGGAAAATTTACATTGGGAATAAAAGTTTCAAAAGCACTCTCCATTAGAAGAAAAAATTCTCCATTTTGGGAAAACTGACCGATAACTTGCTGCTTTTGCTTTGAGTGCCAATAACTTTTGTTTCTGCAAGTTGCTAGCAATCCGGACAGCTCTTCAACATTCGTTCAGCGCTGTGGAATCGGCAATAGCAGCGGAAGAGGCTCGAGATGCGAATATCCGGTGCCTCAATAAAGCCCGAAGTTTCTGCAAGTAAGTGCGTCTAAAAGAGAAGTACTGCATCTGTCTCCGAAGACGTCAAATTTAAATCACTTGGCGAAATTGCAAACTTGCAACTGCCTCTTTGATGTGCGTTTTCCGCGAGATGTCAGAGAAATAATCTAAGAAAGAAAGGTGTAATTGCTTATACCTATTCGGAAATTATTCCACGAGATTTCCACGTGTTACAATTTCACTATCGTCTTCACAAAACTTATGCACCAGTAATTTACATACGAGGCCTGCACTGCCCAGCACTCGTTATGCCGGTTCCAATGTAAATTGTTGTACTTTGAAAGTACAATAAAAACCTGATTAAAAATTTGCCAGAAATTTCTGTACTTTTGTTGTGGTTATTTCCTGCAGTGAGGGGGAAAGGGGGGGGGGGGGGTGGTGGAAGGTGTCAAGTAGCCCTTTGACCTCTTCCAGCATCGCCTTGCCAACTTCAAGGCTGCTCGTGTCTCCTTTCATTGTAATCCGACTGCGCTGGCAGGTGGGTGTTCGCGCTCTACGCGGCTCCTTGCTGCAGCGGTTTCGGACTGAACATCGCCAACATGCTGATGCGCAGAGAAGACCGCCAGCTTCTGATCAAGGCACCCGCGATGGTGACTCAGAGTGACGTCTGGTACTGGTTACTGGTCCTCTGCTCATCCATCTTGTTTGGATCCTTCGTCTTTATAAATGGTAGGAGTACTCACTCAATGTGGCGAGCTACACAGATAACTCGTACGTGTGACAAACTTAATGTTTTGCGCTATTTGTAACCAAGGAGTCTTACGTCAATTGCCGGCATTAGAAGATGAATAAAGAACAAGTCAAAAATATCGCCTAACGCAACATGTCTCAAGTCTCTGAGAGCTATGCAGTTAATCTGAAGCTAAACTTGTCCTCATCTCTTCAGGAGTCGTTGAGAAGATTGGTGCTGATTTTAGCATTAACTAGTTTTGCTTCGCAGGAGGGTTGGATATGATATTCTTATCACTTTGCATGCACATTCGCTGCAAATGTGAGATCCTACGCAAGTTTTTTCGTCATGCAAACCAGGTGAGCACTACACTCTAAATGTCTTACAATGAAATCGGCGCAAGCATACGAAGCAATATTTCTTCATGATTTGGATCAATTTAGCATTTTCATTGTAAGATGCAAAGAAAAACCCTCGCAATGCAAAGGAAAACCACCGTTTTACCATGCTTGCGCCATTTCCTTCGTATTAGGGGTAATTTAGGACATAACCAGTATACCGGTGCTTTTCGGACGGATGCGTGTTTTTGGTTCTTTCCAAGCACATTCTTACGATGGATTGCAGCGAGGTGCTGGTCGCGCTGCCGACGGGCCAATCGACTACTGGGCCGATGACGGATCGGACTTCGTCCTCCAGCCAGTGACGCGACCCGAGGACGAGATCGTCGCAGTCACTCGTGCGTGCGCGCAGTATCATCAGCAGATCGTCAGGTACACGCACTCCGATCCAAGGATGGGCATAGAGTACTCCAGAGAAGCTCTGGCCCGGAAGAAGAAGAACAAAAACGGAAGTAAGAAATTGCAGTTTCTATGAGAAATATACGCTGCGGACCCTCATGCGCAGCGTATATTTCTCATAGAAACTGCAATTTCGTACCTCCGTTTTTGTTCTTCTTCCGGGCCAGAGCTTCTTTGGAGTACTCTATTATTGACAGCGTACAAAGGCACTGTGCAATTTTGATTACTCTACGAAAGTCCTTTGGCTCTGCGACGCCGGTGGTAAGTTTGCTTGTCACGAAATTGGCAAGCCTGGTTCTGGAATTCTTTTGGCATGTCAAAATGTAGAATTGCAGGCCGTCGAAGCGCCAAATATTGGCAAGAGCAAGCTGACGAGGATTTCAGGTCAAGGCTTCGCAATTTTCGGCATTTATGACGGCTTGCCAATGTTGTGGCAAGCAAACTTACCACTGCGGATTTGTAGTGAGAGGGAATCTGGGGAAAGTCGTCCTTTCCTTAAAACGAGTCCAATTGTAGAAATTTCTGAATTATAAAGTAAAGGGAACCCTGAGACCGAGTTCAGCTCAGTTCTCATCAGGTTGTCGGCCAAGATTCTTGATTCGCCTACAGCTTTTCTGGTTCTGTGATGCGCTGTGTGATTTCAGCCTGCGCGACACCACCGAGAATGTGTTTTCTAAGATGTCACTGGTCGTGATGAGCTACCTATTGCTCGGACTAGGGATTCCAGGGCTTCGCGTCTTGTACGATGTAAGTACGCTTTCTAGGAATCTTTTGAATCAGTCTGTGGACACAAACGCTCTTTCTTGTCCTTCCATGTGCTGAGGATTTCATACACTGCTAATCCAAGTGTGGACCAGGTCCACGCTTCAAGGCGTGGACACCTCTTGGTCCACGCTTGGCAAGCATAGAACTCCATGCTTGAAAACGTGGACCAAGCGGTGGTCCACGTTTCAAAGTGTGGACCTGGTCCACACTTGGATTAGCAGTGTACCGTTTATACAAATTATTAATTTTTCTTATGACTTCATATTTGAGGCGTAAAAGAGAAAACAGTCAAAGCACACAAAATTCTTTTTAAAACTCACCGATATTAAAATTTTAAGCTGAAGGACACGAGGGTCTGCTCGTATGTTGATGATTGCAGCATCGTCAATTTTACGTTTGTGCCTATAACGTTTTGTGTCTCAACAAAGGCCCGCACCAACGATAAGGTTTCTATTTCAGAAATCGATGGATGTTACAGGCGTCCTTTTCCTCATGCTGTACACAATGTGGAACTGTTGCCAGCTGCTTTTCTATTGCTGGTTCGCCGACTCCGTCGCACATGCTGTAGGTAGCGAAACACTGTGACTCCAAAGGCCATGAACATGGCACGTACGATGCAATGCCCTGAGACATTGCATCAAACGTGCCACATCTCACCTTACGTGCGACAAGTCCTGAAAATGCCCTATCACTGGAAACCAACGAATGTGACGTCATATTCGTTCGAATGTGAAATTTGTCCCGTCCGTTCGAATATGATGTCACATTCGTTTGGATATGATGTCACATTCGTTTGAATGTTGATCAATTGATCAACATTAAAACGAATAAGACACCCCATTTAAACGGCCGAGTCACGTTCAAACGAATGTGACATCGTGTTCAAACGAACGTGACAAAATTCACACTCCAACGAATATGTTGTCACATTCGTTGGCTACCAGTGATGACAATGTATGGAAAAGCATAGCACTCCACGCTTCACGTGCGATGCACAAGCGTTGCTGCGATGAAATCGGTTTATATAGCATTGCACCCAAGTGCTTCTAAGTAAATATGACTAATTTTCTTTTGTAAAATTATGTTCCAAAGCAAATTGTCAGTAAGTGAGTATGGGGCGATTTGTAACAGATTTTGGAATTCTCTATACAAAATTAAGAACATTTTGCATATCGGTTTCAAACTTGTGCCAGTTGAGCAGTCTGGCCCTTCATCTAGACTGTGCAGCTCCATGGATCAATCTGGAGTCCGAAATCTTTGAAATCTAAGAGCTTTCCAAACCCTTGCATGCTGTTACGAATCGCCCCAGCATGGGGTGATTTGTAACAGCCATGGGGCTTTTCATAACATCCTACACATTAGATGAAACATCGTCGGGAATGTTATCTCCTCCAGCAGTTGTTCTTCGAATGTCCTTCAGACGCCTTAAAATCTACATTACAAGCTGCCGTTGACCGCCTCAGCATTAACTGATAGGCTATGTCAACCCTAACCTCACTCTTTTCAATTTTAGCGGGAAGCATAGAATAACTCGCTTTAAAATGCATTTCGAGCTGTGTAAATGTATTGGAATAAAACAGCAGATGATTCGAGAAATAATTCAAGCATTTAACAGCAAAAACTACTTAAATTCTTGTTTTTATACGGGTCTGTTACGAATCACCCCAAATGCCTGTTACGCAAGAAATACGTCCCTAACTATCACTGGACAAAGTAAAAGCAACTTATGCCACGTGGTTACATTGTAAAGGGGTCACGCTTCAAGGCCCCAACGGTACTTCGATGATGATTCATACCTGGGGAGCCTCAGACAGAAACTTCCTCGAACTCAAAATAAAAGATTTGCCCGTTTTCGGCGTACCCTATATTTCAGACGCCCTCCAAAACTATGCCTGAGCACCGATCACATCCGCTTCGATTGTTCAAGGACCCTCTACTTAAAGCGAAAGAGGGGCCATACTCAGATTTTGCTCTGCTCCCTCCACTTAAATTAATAAACGCATTTGTTACGAATCACCCCTGTTACAAATCGCCCCATACTCCCTTACGTTATTTAATATTTCCGGAGTAGTTCTTTAACAAGCTAGGGCCCGCCCTAGCAGGGGGCCGGCTCAGCTTGGCCTGCCGGCGGCCTTTTCTCGGGCCTTCGGCCCGAGCATCAGACCCAACTTGGCCAGTCGAAGGCCCGGCTCGCATCACACACACCGTGAGCGGGTAAAGCAAAGTTATCGATGTACCATCGTGACTTAGGCCCGCCCTTCTATTCACAATATGCAATAGTCCTTACACTTTTTACTCCAACTGTCCTTAGAATATGCCCATTTCATTTGTCTCTTCGCCCTCATTCCGAAAATACCCATATTTGCCATGCTACTGCAACTCCTTGCAATAGAGGCACAGCAGGAGCGCAAAACGAGTCCGTCGCACTTTTTCCCATAACTCATGAAGGCAGGCTCCTGGACCCCCCTTCCGACCCCTCGTTGAAGAGGTCTTGCCAAGACCTATCGACAACTTCAGTAAAAATTTTCAGTCGGTCGACCCCCTTTTTCGAAGATCCTGATGTGACTAACAGACGAAGTCGGGCTCCTGGACCCCCTTTCCGACCCCTCGTTGAAAAGGTCTTGCTGAGACCAATCGAAATCTGCAACAAATTTTTTTAGTCGGTCGACCCCCTTTTTTGAAGATCCTGATCTGGCCAACTTGTAAAAGCGGCCGATGGGGTCGGGACCAGGTCCATTCATCTTGTCTCGTCGCCCCGATTCCAAAAATACCCCTATGTGCCCTGCTAGCACCAATAATGGCGGAAATCCCCCTCCCGCTCATGTAAACCATGATGCACCTGCAGCAGCCCTTGTGCGACCCGTACGGGATTTGCACCACCGGATTATTTGTTTGGACGGTACTCCTGAAGTACCCTCCAAATCTGGTTACTCTAGCTCAACTCCTTCCTTGTACACAGACGCCAACAACAACAACAACAACAACAACACACAGACACAAAGGCAAATGCATAGGCCCTCCCCCTATTTTTTGAATAGAAGGGCGGGCCAAAAAAGAAAAAGTACGTATTGTGGTTCCACAAATTACTTGCACGAGTACTAACAAAATGAGGTAACTGTCAGTAACGTGCTGAGAGTGAAGACAATTTGTTCAAATAACGCCGGTAAATAGGCAAATATGATGGCTGAATTCAGTGGGAAACTCACTACACTCACTTTCCTCAATCGTACATAATTTTAGTCCGTAGCAGACCCCTTGCGGAACACCCCATGGTTCAAAATTGTCGCAGTCCGAGGAAGTGTCGGTGGCCGCCTACGCCACCATGCGGCCGGACATGACGTCCAGGACGCTGAGCGGACTGAACCGCCGCGCGGCCGACGTCTTGAACATGGTGACCCTGCGAGCGCAACGGCCCTTGCACCTCACGGCGGGCCGACTGGTCAAGCTGACCCTGGAGCTGTGCCTCGACGTGGGTATCAGCTTGGGCCACACGAAAACACACTCAAACATTCAAAAACACTGGGAAATCCGGGAATGTGATGTGACGTTCGTTTGAACGCGAATCGTGTCACGTTCGTTTGAACGCGAATCGTGTCACGTTCGTTTGAACGCGAATCGGCTGGTCGCGGGCCCGGACGAGGCTGGATTCACGTTCATACTAATGTTACACGGTATTCAAACGAACGTGGCACGATTCACGTTTATACGGACGTGACGTCACATTCCCGGATTATCAGCGTTTTCTAATGTTCACTCTAAATGCTCTGTAAGTTGGGTTTGTTCTGAGTACACTGTACATGTCTTACGAAGAAATTTCCTGTAATTAGGAAATGCCGCGAGTATAATGCGAAGGAAGTATTTCTTCGTAGTAGGAAAACTCTCATTCCAGAAACGTGACATCACGTTGAAACGAATGTGACGAAATGTCACGATTGTTTTGAGTATTAGCGTCGTTTGGATGTGAATCGGCCATAAATTAGCTTATTCGCATTCAAACGAAGAACGTAACATTTTGTCACATTCTCTTCAAGGTGACGTCACAATCCTGGAATGAGAGTGAAAGGTTTTCGTTGTATCTTACAATGAAAATACTTATTAGATTAGTATATGAAGAAATATTGCTTCGAACGAAGCTCAGATTTCATTGTGAGACATCTAGGATGTTCTAAAAACGATCAATTAAGTGTGCACTGCTAAAACTAAGGCGTAGTATCGTTGTAAGTACATTCTGAATGTCTCACAATGAAATCTGAGCTGCGTTACAGTGCCTTACAATGAACTCTGAGCCATGTTACAAAAATTTGGCGCAAGAACCAATTTTACCCCATTGTCAATAGCTCATAATTACTTGAAACGCAGATCTATTCTTAAATGAATTTGCTGCCTCAAACATGTTGATAACACACCGTGAACGGGGGTAGTTTTAGACAATATTTCATTTGAAAAAGATACAAAAGGGGCGTTTTCGGTTCATAACATTAGGTATCAAAAAGTCTTTATTCTGACGCGTCTTTGGTTGCAGATCATACGCCGGTCACAGTCGATGTACTCATATTTACTCAACCTGCGATGAACAACGAGCAACTTTCAATCGTCCTTGGGCTTTCCAAAGGATTGGCTGCTTTGGAAGATTTCAAAGGAATTTCTTCGGTGCGAATGACAACAAAAGGACTACACTTGCAACTGCAGCAGAAATTCTGCCCAAAGATCAAACAGTGTCTCTTCGGCGTACGCGTCAGCTGCGGTTGCCCTTGGGCAGGCTTGAACATGGCCAACTTGGAATTTTTGGTACATTGCAAATGAGCTGTACTTGATCGAAAGTAAACGTTATCCTAAAGACAATGCATTCTAATTTTTTTCCTTTCAGAAACACTTCACAATTTGTTTCAATCAATGAGCATTCGTGATTGTAACTCAATATTTGAAACCACTGCTTCTACGAATGCAACCATAATAATGCTGCAACAAAACATCTGCACAATTGCTCAACGTGACAATCAATCAGTACGAAGGACGGTGCATCACCCGTTGCAGGACCGGGCGAAAAAAAAATTTAAATCACACACTTAAGAACTTTTCTTTACATGGAGCCCCTTTTCAATTTCGGACAGTAGGGAACACATTCTCTCAGTACAAGAGTGACGCTGTAATGTTCTCAACAGGGCTTGTATGGAGACGTCTTACGTTACGCACTCAAGAGTTGTCGACGTCAGAGAACGCTAACTTTGACGGTCGGTCGGTAATGATGTCAATAATAAACACTCATCATTAGGCATCGTGGTGACTTTGTTATGTTCCTTGGGATGCCTCACTGAAAAAGTCTCACGGTGAAAGGCTGCACCAACATATTATGGCGGAGATTTTCTCCATAATACCAACGAAATTCGGGAAAATATCTATAAGATACAGTGAATTTCGTATGGTATGTTACGAACTCAGCTGCACCACCATAATATGGAACATTTTCACCAAAATATGGAGAATCTTCAATGTACAACACTTAGAGTGCTCTCCGTTGGACACTACTTCCTGTCTTCCACTCGCAGCCAGAAGCCGTTCTCCGGCGTAGGAGCGTTGGCCTTGGGGTCGAGCACCAAGGGCACGGCGGTCTTGCTGCCGACGCTGAAGACGTGCTGGTGCAGCAGCGAGGCGAGCGCCAGCTTCATCTCCAGCACGGCGAAGCGCTCCGCGATGCAGAAGCGCGGCCCCTCGCCGAACGGCAGGTACGCGTACTGGTGCCGCCCCTGCTTGGCCTCGTCCGTGAAGCGGTCCGGGTCGAAGCGGTCGGGCTCCGGGAAGATGTCCGGGTCGTGCATCGCCTGCCAGATCGGGATCCACACCATGGCAGACTTGTCGATGACCACGTCCGAGTCGGGAATCTACGGCAGCAGGGATTTTCAAGTCAGTCTCCACTCTCAGTCTCATGTGCGCAGAAGCCCCCGAGCAGAAAGAAATCCGGAAACAAGTGAGGGATCGTTATGTTCTAGCGGAGGCCATCTTGCAATTTCTTTTCTTCCTCTTTCAGGTGGAATACCTCATTGTACTATTTTCGCTTTAACAAATGCACAATTTTGACCGTTTTTAAGATAAAATTGTCAACAGATTGATAAGAAACCATAAAGTACATTGCGATTGAGAAAAAAGTCAGGGTCAATGGAATAAACACCCTATGAAATGATCAAAAACGTGCAAAGTTAAAGAAAAAATAGTGCATATTACACTGAGAAAACCTTACAAACTATTTTGGGCCTTACAAAGAAAAGTAGTTTGTATAACAAAGTATTTCGAGCATACGTAAGCTTACAAAGAAAATACTTTGTAATTTACAAACTATTTGTTCGTATAACAAAGTATTTTAGTTTGTTATATGTATGCTCAAAATACTTCGTAAGGTTTTAAGAGTGTACGTTTGCATAAAAAAACTTTTTGGCAAGAGATAAAAAGTCAATACGAGCCTGAGAGCGTCAGATTCGTACTAAGTGTTTGTTTGACGACGACGCCTTGCCTTGGTCTGAAAATGAAGTCTTAAAGTTCAGGCAGTGCCGCGGTTACACGTGGTAATTACCACGTTCTACACAGTGAATGCTTTCGGACCCTTTGGCCATTATTGACTTTGCACTGACTCCAACCCGCCCCCTTAGGCAGCGTGCACATTTTACGTCACCTATTTTAGGCCTCTTTTTGATCCTCTCCCCAGCGTCCATCGTCGGTTTAACCTAACCATCCCATGTGTTTAAGATAGGACCCTCATCAGGAGCCAATGTCCCCTCCCTTGTGATGACGTAATATTTGCACGCCCCCTTACCTGGTACGAGTCGTCGGGCTGCCGCGTGAGCACGCCCACTGGCGAGTACTTCCGCAGCGCCTCGCGGATGATCCTCTCGACGAGCGCCATGTCGCGGAGGGCCTCGAAGGACATGGCGCCGCCGTGCTTCTCCATGCAGGACCGCACCTCGTCCACGGCGCGCTGCTGCAGCTCGGGGTTCAGGGCGAGCTCGGTCAGGGCGAAGCCAACCTGCACACGTTTGTCAGTGGGCTGGGTCTCTCTCTCTCTCTCTCTCTCTCCCCCCCTCTCTCTCTCTCTCCAATAAATACTTGAAAGATTGCAAAATACTGACAAACTTTGAGGCGTCGAGGTCTGACCATAACCTCGGCAAGCAATTAACTGTATAAAACTAAAAGTCGATAGCAAGTCTGAGAGTGTATGTTCAAGCAGCGCCCATCTTGGAATTTGTTTTCTTCTTCTTTCAGTCGAAATACCCCATTAGTAGTGTTGTGAGATCACTAGTGCATTGATGTGCCCACCGTGTTCGAAATATTATCCAGGCCGGCGATGAAAAAGAGGAAGGCCTGGGCCGCCATGGTGTGGTGGTTCAGCTCGATGTGGTTGAGGCGGTCGGCAGCGCTGCGGCCTCGGTCCTCGTTGCGCAACTCCATCATGCACTGGAACGAAGTCATTGCGCTCCACCTGGGGCACACATGCTTTATGCCTCACAAAGAAACTTGACCTTTGTCTCAGTGGATACACTCTCACACTCGTATTGTCTTTTTTCTTCCAATAATTGATTTTTTATCCTTTGCTAACTTATCTTTTTAAGCAACAATAATATGTAGTATTTCCTTTGTAACCAGGTACAATATTGTTTACCACAAAGACTAAATTGTCATCAATTACTTACTGTTTTTGAAGTCGATTGCGTATTGTTTCTTTGTCAATAGCAAACTAACTTTAAGTCAAACAAAATCTTACATAGATATTGAGGAAATAGTACTTTTTATCGCCGTGTAAAATGCTCTTTAACCAAAGATAAAAAGTCAACAACAGTCTGAGAGTGTACTGACCATTTGTTGATGAACATAATTTTTCTAAGTAAATTATTATTATGTTTGTAAAAAATACGAAGTATAATCCTTCCTTTTGAATTTAGCTGTGCAACGCACTGCAAATGGCATGCTTGATCAGTGCAGCGCTCACCTTGTGTTCCTCGCGATACTGGACAGTGTCTTTCATGAGGTCGATGAAAAAGTTGGTCATCTTCCTGAACACAAGTTTAAAGGGCACGACCTTGACGAAAATGGGATGCACGGAAATGAGGAAGAAACGGATCAAGAACACAATGTTGCGGCCGAAGATGGCGCGCGACATGGCCATGAAGTCCTCGTTGCCGCCCCGCATGGTCTTGCAGTCGATGCCGAAGGCGACGGAGCCGATTATGTCGGTGCTGTAGCGCACCAGCAGGTCCTTGAACTCCACCTGGAACGGCAGGTGCACACTGTAATTGTCTTACGGTGAAAGACTGCACCAACATGTTATGGTGGAGATTCCCTCCATAACACAAACGAAAGTCGTCAAAATATGTATAAGGTACAGTGAATTCTGAATGGTATGTTATGAAGTCAGCTGCACCACCATAATATGGAACATTTTCACCTTGATATGGAGAAACTTCACTATACTAAACATTTAGAGTGCACGAAAACATGTGATTTCATGACCATATTTTTTGGATTCTCACTGAAACTGTTCGTTGTGACACAATGACAATTCCAAGGCCAATTTTCCCCACAAGAATGTGGTCTCAACACTTGGAGACATTGTCGTCGCGCCCATAGGCAATACGTACATAAGCTTAGATGAGATCGTCACCAATTTGTGACGCAACTGATCCAGGAGGCGGAAGAAGGGGATTTCTCCATTTAGACCATTTTCCAGGAGAAACAAAAAGCTGTTAGCAGGGAGAACTTAAACTAAACGAATGAATGTTAAGAAGTTCAAGAAGTATTAGTTAAATTTTTGAGATAAACAACAGAAGTGTTGGGTCACTCCTAAGAGGATTTCTTTGACCTATCACTTTCCGTTAAAATGTTAAACAGAGTCATGTCAAGTGATATTTCCTAAGCGAAGTTGCGAATTTGAGGACCGTTGAGGACAGTCAAGTGGAACTATAGTCAGCAGAAAGTGTTGGTTCAGGCATTGCTGCCGGAGCAGGGGATAAGAATAGCAGCGCAGCGGCTATCCTTAGTTCCGGCCGCTCAGAAAGGTCTGTTTATCGACACATCAAGACCGATCAAACTGGGGCCATCGCGACGTCCATATGCCGCAAAATACGCAGAGAAACTCGTTCTCAGACCTTGAACTTGGGCCACTGCCAGACGACCTCGGGCGCCTACTGTACTCACGACGCCGTCTGGTGTACACTCGCCCCACGAACGACTTTCTGGGAATACCCTGACACAGTCTGAGGCCCTGGGCAGATAAGAGGCTACAGACACCAGTAAGACTCCGCTGTGTATTCCTGGTTTCACTATCAAGGCGACCGGAGACAACTTAGTACAGACTGATGAAACCTCCTTCCTCCTTACAGCTCGATCGCCATAACGCTCTCATAGCGTCATCTATCGTCAGCAGACCCAATTAGGATGGGTTGCAGCCTTAAAGATTATCAAAAATATTGCATTGTAAAATATTTTGTCCACCTTAAGTTCGCTAGAAAATCATTTCAAAAAAGTGGATTTTTTTAAATACTGATGTCTCTCTTGACGTTACCTTCTTCAGACACAAGGGACTTGTACGACTGTTCAATCGTTTCTCTGGACACCTGGTATTATGTTCGAGTTGGAAATCAAGGGGCCCTATTCAAAAGGTCGTATCGTGTTCATCGAAAAGTAATTCTGTATATTGTGCGTCAAGTGGCTATGCCAACTTCACGGAGGTCAGAACAAGGGCGTGCAGCTGTTCTTCGGTGAGGAACTGGTGCTTGGGTGTGTGCGTGCTCGGCAAATAATGATTGATAAGATGTAATGGTCTTCCGCCTTTATCTGAGGCCCGCGTATCGCACGCAAGATTCGGTCAGAGCTACGTTAGTACGAATGGAGGGAAAAATGAGGAACGAGGTGCTTACTGCACTGAGAGAAATAATGAAGATTGTGGCTGTTAAACCTAATGCCACTCTCCACTGTTCATCGAAAGAAGATGCTTACCGTACCCTGGGGCACAGTGGACACTGTGCCTGAAGGAACGGCGTTCACTGTACCCTGGGAACCCGCATCCGCTGTACCTTGGAAAATGTTCAGACACGGCATTCAGTATAACTGTAAAATAAAGGCGAAATTCCAAAATTACGATAGGAACGATTTGAAGACGGAAATAAACTCATCTTAACAATTCGAACAAAAATTGATAGGCATGTTGTGGGCTCAGACTCGAAATTCAACAGATATCGGCATCAAAAGTCTAAAAAAGTAGGATTTTGGACTCCAAAACATCGGACTCATCAAATTACGATCCAAAATCCTACTTTTTTAGACTTTTGATGCCGATATCTGTTGAATTTCAAGTCTGAGCCCATAACATGCTCATCATTTTTTGTTCGTCTTGTTGAGATGAATTCATTTCCGTCATCGAAACGTTTCTATCGCGATTTTGGGATTTCTCTTTTATCTTACAGTTATACTGAATGCCGTGTTTGAACAGTTTCCAAGGTACAGTGGATGCACGTTCCCGGGATACAGTGAACGCCGTTCCTTCAGGCACAGTGTCTACTGTATCCCACGGTACGGTAAGCACCTTCTTTCGGTAAACAGTGGAGAGTGGCATCAGGTTTAACAGCCACAATCTTCATTATTTCTCCCAGTGTGCTTATCCAGTCCTCAACCGGAAGTTGCCGACCCAGGTCCAGGTCGTGCCTCTTCGAGATCTCGCACGACTCAATAAGATCTAGTAGGAATTTTGAGTTTTAGTTAGAACTGTCCTATCCTAAATCTTTGCGCAGGTAGATTTAAAAAAAAAAAGTTTAAAAAACGGAGTTTTATTTGACGGTGAAAACCGGTGCTCACAACCTTCATTTTCACTAAAAAGTGTAAACATTCATAGCTCCGAAGCCCTGTATCTCCTACGGGGTCTAGGCCCAGGTCCAATTCGATTCGACATTTTTTACACAGTAGATCTTTGCTCACTGTGAAAATATTCAATTTCCTCAAAATCCTAAGAGAAGACTGGTTTTGGGGTAATTTCGAAGATGTTTTGGGGAGTGACTGAGCGCGCGTCAGTCGCAGGTTGAATCTAGGGCCATAATTTTGTTCCTTGGGCAATTTTACATGGGGTCTCCAATCCTGAGCCGGCACCCACGACACTTGTGCACTCTCAGCATTTTACTGACTACTTCTCATTAGCAGACGCATTTCTGAAAGCAACCAAAGTACTTTGTATTTCGTCCTTCAATATTTAAATATTTCTATGTAATTTACTTAGGAAACGATAATATCAGTACAGTAATTAGCAATTGCTAAGTGATAAGTAACCGGGACACCTATAATTTTTTTCTCAGTATCACACAGAAATACGTGTGTTAATGAGAAATAGTCAGTAAAAGGCTGAGAGTGTGGATTCAGGTCAATACTCAAATTCATGCTTATGTACAAAAGTAAAAATAAAGTTGGCCACAATCTAGGCCAATAGTATTTGTCAGAACTTGTATTTTGGCTTTGGACTTCTTATTGGGCTGAGAACCCTAACAAATTTCTGAAGCATCGGAGGGGGTTAGTGGCAGTAGACTTTAGTTACGTGATTTTCCTATAATTGTCCCGGTGGTCTTACCGGTAAAACCATATCCTGGTTACTGACCTAAATTTCTGATAATCCCAGGAGATATTCCTGTGAATTGCCTGATATTCGTGGGAATGCCAGAAGACGGATTTAACGTGTTATTTGTTGTCGCCCTTCGTGGTTTGTGCAGATGCCCCCACGGAATTTTTACCTGGCTGTCACCTTCGGCCGCATCAGATCGCACTTTGCTGTTCAGATCGTTGGTGATGTCCACCATGAGGGGGTACATGAGCTTGAGCTTGCCCGTGGTGAAAACTGGAGACATTTTCATCCGCAGGTTCTTCCAGCGGATCCCAGACAAGAAGAAGAGGTTGACGCTCAGAGGGTCGCCCTGTTCGTCGATAGGCTGCCCGCGGCCGTGGAAGCTGCCGAAGTCCTTGGTGAGGACCGTCTTGATGAGCTCCGGGTCCAGCGCCACCAGGACGGGCCTGCGCGCCTGGAACGTGCCCACGAAGCGCTGCTTGCCCTTGTACTTGGAGTAGGCGTGGTCCAGCCACTCGTAGAAAGGCTTCCCGGCGGGCAGGCCGGCGCCGCGGTCCCCGGTCAGGGAGAACGGGTTGTAGGACACGACGCCGCGGTCCTTCCAGTAGTTGAAGTTCCAGGAGAAGTACAGCCAGACGGCGGCGAGCAGCGCGGCCGCGCCCAGCAACACGAACGCCACCATGGCGGCAGGGACACTGACGCCGCGCCCAACCTGACCGGTGCGCCTCGCAGTCGTGCCCGCCGCGCTGTACAGTGTACAGTACATTAACGGCCCGCCGACAAAAGAGCTGGCTCTGCCGAGGCGTTGACCCAGTGAAGCATGGAAAGTACTGTGCGGTTTTAATGTCGCGCTCGGTTCTCACCCTCGCGGAACCTTCAGTGGGCCTCCAGAATAGCCGAAAACTGACTTATGTGAGTGCTGAAATCGAGTCTGTGCACTTAATTGAAAAAAGAAGAATTTTAAGCCGAGATTGGGATCAATCGCACTTCAGGGACCACAGCCGCATCAAATCGAAGTCCTAACACCCATTTTACAATGGGTTCATCCGTTTCATTTTCATATATTAATTTACGACGTGTGTTGTACTTACACAATAAGTTGACTCTGATAAGTTTTTCATTTTATTTTTCACACAATTACTTTCCATTGTGGGTTGCGATTCACAAACTGCTTATCCAAGATTTTCTCATTTTACAAGTATTAGTTTTAAAATGTGTTGAGTCTTGACAGCTAATATCTAAGGCTCAAGGGTGTACACTGTGGGAAAATATCACAGTAAATCCTGTAGTGATTAGATTAGTACAGCTGTCACTGTAGTTCAGAGTACAGGATTTACTGTTCATTTTTACTGTATTTATTGTACATTGTACAGGATTCACTGTGCCACAGGAGTGGAGTACGGAATATCCTGCACCAGTTACACTAAATACTGTAGCCAGGCACAGTAAATCATGTGTTCTGAACTACAGTAAATGCCGGCAAAAAAAAATTAACGGGTTTCACTGTGGTTTTCTCGTACAGTGTAGAGTCTGCTATATTTTGACGTCCGGACGCCCTCCTTACGGTTTTGGCATAATAATGAAATCCATGCACGCAGTAAGAAAGCGCATGCCGCTCTTCTTCCATAGCCCCGTCACGTTAACGCGATACCGCCCGTAAGGCATCTGGGGAATGTTAGGCAGGGTCCAATCCATCTGATCCTCGTTCAGGGAGTACGTTCCCTGGAACAAAGGGACACCAATGAGTTTCACCCCCCCCGCTATTTCAGTCTGCTTTTGCTTAACTTGTAGCTGCTAATACTTGCCTTGCGTATTGCGAAAGGGCCCCTGTCATTTTGGCGGGTTGAAAGTGACCTGATAGGCGTAGGGAATGTTTTCGCGGGAACAGAGCACATCCCACCCGGAACTTTGAGCACTATAAAATTCTGTTTCCATTCATTTTTGGCCCATTTCGAAAAGCTCACATATCTGAAATCATTTTAAAAATCAAATGTCAAGCCCGGCTCGACGTCATAGGAAAGGAAAACGGCAATTTTAATCAGTGCCAATGTGCGGCATGAGGCAAGACTTTTTTTGTAATAAAAGTAGAATGCTCCTAGATTTTAACGAAAATGTAGAGTTACTTCTAATTTCAAAGAGTGATTGTCGAATATTGATCGCTTGAACTCACAGAGTGGCTGTCATCTACGTCTTGCAAGAGAGTCACGTTGCCAGTTGCCGTCTGTTTTTCATAGGGCTTGAAGCGGTTGAAATGGCTGAACCGAAGGTGCACTTGTAGTTGCGCCTTGGGCCCGTCATCACTGCACTCAAATACTCTGTCTGCGTAGCTGATATAAGGACCCTGCAGCCAAGCAGCGACGGAGTGAACACCACACTTTTAACTTAAAAATTAGAACTGGTTTTTGCACGACCCGCTATCATTCTCATTCCAGGAACATAACATGACATCGCGTTCAAACGAATATGGCAAAATGTCACGTTTCTTTGAGGGATGCGTCATATTCAATTCAATGTGAAAAAGCTACTTCCTAGTTCACATCCAAACGAATGTGACACAATGCTTACTGGAACATGACATTTGGTCCAATTCGCCTCAACGTGATGTCAGTTTCCCGGTTTGAGTGTATACTCATTCGTGAGCTCTCCGATAGCGCTGTGAACTGTCTGAGTACTTGTCGTACCGCATAGGCGTTAATGAATCGGCACCTGGCCACTGGAGTGACCAGCAGAACGAGTAATGCAATCATTGGAACGAGCTTTTGGTGCATCGTTATCATCCTAGGCGTAGCGAATGAGTGATTGAACTTGGAAAACTGTTGACACGATTTCATCTGGCGAAAAGAGACATGTCCAATTAGACAGTAGCGGAGAATACCGGTAAATAGAGGGAATGACTGATCCAGGAAGCGGAGAAGGGAAAAAACTCCATTTTGACCATTTTTCAGAAAGAAACAAAAAACTGTTGGCAGGGATAATGAAAACAATACAAAGGAATGCTATAGATGATGAATAAGTTCAAGAAGCGATAGTTAAATTTTGGAGTGAACATCAGAAGTGTCACTGCGCATAGGATTTCTGTGACATCACTTTCCTATGCGCAGTGACCTGACGCTTTTGATGTTATTACCCACTGATGGTCCAGGTCCATATTACCTGCTTTTACGGTAAGAAAGTTACACACTTACGAGCTGCACGGTGAAAAGAAAACAATGGCATTGGAAAATATGAAAAATGCTTCATTTTAAGAAGCGAAATTCTTCGCAATAAGAGGCAATTCTTCACGAAGGAATCGAAGAAAACCTTTATTTCCTTCGTAGTTACGAAACAGGTTCTTCATGGACTTGTTCGGGTGTCATGTTTTGACTCCGCGCCATTCCTCGATCAGTTATTTCAACTATAAACGATGAATAACTGAATGTCTCTAGCAGGCTACAGGAAGAGGTACTTTTCTTGCCTTGTATTTCTCTACTTCTCTCTCGCAACTTATAAGGGAAGGTGGGGTACCATGTGACGGTTTTTGTTAAGTGCCCGTCAACCCAATACTACCAATCACATTACATCCATCAGTAGTCATGTGAACAAAATGATTCTTCACCTTAAAATTGCTGTTGAGATTTCTAATTTATCTGTTTTGGTTGCTGAGTTATCCCGAGTTGAATGGGCCAAGTCAAAGTGTCACTTCGTACCCCACGTAGTACACTATGTGACAGCCTTAGTGCACCATGTGACAGTGGCCTTTTGTCAGGGTTTAAATCCTATTCAGCGTACCTATACGCAAAGAATGAATGAAGAAGTGTTCCAGCTTTTTATTTCCGTTGAGTTAATCAATTTATTATTTTTGGTTCCCGAGCAATGAAGGTTTTAGTTATTAGTGCACAAATGTCATGGGCTGAACAAATTCAACTGAGTGAATCGTGGAATCTCACAGCGAATGACAGTAGTATCACATGGTGCCCAGATCTACAGTTTTAGGGGAAACAGCAATAACGCTCAAAGTTTATGACGTAGAGAATCGAGCCAAAGCTTATATTGCGCTTAAAACATCAAAAAAGAACATCTTGCAGAGCATGTGTCCTTAAAATGTATTTTAAAGGTAAAAAGCGGACGCGGCGGGAAATAGAAAAAGTTTCCAATGAGCTATTTTAAGACTATTTCCAATTCTGATCGCTACCATTCCCGTCCTTTTCGAAGGAGAGTCACGACCTATTGCACGTCGATTCTCCTTCATGATACCTTCGAGTCTTCTTACCGCTGTTGGATAGCAAGCCGTTTGGGAGAACAAGCCAAAGTCACATGGTGGCCGTGTCACATGGTACCCCACCATCCCTTACCTTTGACAATAAATCCTCACTACCAGTGAGCACACGTTCCATGAAAGAAGACAAGCTGCCTGCCACTGCCGAGTCATCAATGAACTGAAGCAGGCGATTGCGTGAAGGCGCACATTTTATTGGGAAAGGTCGTCTCGTTGGCTCGTATTCCGCACGCCACCTCGTCACGAACCGGGCAAACAGAAAACAAAAGGTTGCGGTGCAATAACCTTTACACTGCAGACAGTGTCATTCACTCTTAATACGCCCAAAATTTTCACTCTTAGACCTACGGTATATAGACTTAATTGCCTCTTGCTTATGAAGTATTTGGAGCAGACGTAATTGGCCGAGCGATATCGAAGCCCGTTACTCCAGTGGGGATAAAAAACTTTTTCTGTCTGTGTGTGCTTGTATGTGTGGGGGCGTGTTTGTGTGTGTGCACTACTCCTCCTAAACGGCTCGGCCGATCTGGCTGAGATTTTGCAGGATCATGGTCATTAGGTATGACCTTGCCTCACCACACACCAAATAGCAGCTTTCTATCTCAATCCATGTAGTCATATTAAAAAAACATTGGCGACCCCTAATACGTCCTGTTCGACCGGTCTCAGTTTTGGCGCAGGCTAATTACATGGATGAAAAAACAAGTTTCCGGTTGGGCCGGTATGAAAATCAAAAAAGCGTGCATTTCAATACCCATTACCTAACAGGCCTCTTAGTGTGCATTCTGATCCTATCTTAATTTGGGAATCGATGAAGTATGAGTACCCCAACTTGTACCCAATAGCCCGTCGTTGTTTGACTATGTTAGCCACCTCCTGTCCTAGTGAAAGATTATTTTCTGGTGCCAGCCTCATCTTAACTGACAATCGGTCACACACCACTGCTAACCACCTTCATCAAGAGACTTTTCTAGCTGCCGGCCGTACCACTCCATGTGTGTGTGGCAGGCGGCATCAAGTCGTTTATGTACCAAACATTATGTTCGTATTCATATCGACGCCTCCTAATAGAATAATCCTAACTGTCAGTGCTGATAAAAGACGATCCTGACTTCTCAGAGGTTTCATGGCTAAAACTGCTCATTGGCTCTCTTCAGTCCAAAGCAGCGAATCGTGATATCGCTGAAATACAGCTTCCACGTTTAAATGCAAGGTTTATACTTTTTTGGCTGAGCGATAGCGAAGCCCGTTACTCCAGTGGGGTTGAAAAGTTTTGTCTGTCTGTCTGTGTGTGCGCACTACTCCTCCTGAAGGGCTCGGCCGATCTGGCTGAGATTTGGCAGGGTCATTAGGTATGTCCTTGGCTCGTCACACACCAAAATTCAGCCTTCTACCTCAATCCATTCGGTCATTTTAGCCAAAAAAAACACTTAAAAAACGGCAGAAACAGACAACTTTTTTGGTACTTTATACTTTTTGACAAGTTTTCTATCGTTTCCTATGTTTCGGAGGGTGCTGATGACGAAAATAGAACCCATTCTGACCTCCGACCTTAAGTTAAGCCCCATTAGTGAAGATTTTGATCACCAAATTCTAATTTTTGGGGGATCACGCTCATTTCTACGGTTTGACTAAGAAAGCATCCTGCCGAAGGCAGGCTAGCGCCGCAGGCCAAGGTAGGTGTATACGCCAGGCGTGGACTGTCGAAACTGGCGCAGCATCGCGAAGCCTGTTACGACAAGACACGGTTTGGCGTACACCTACCTTGTAACAAGTCCATTGCCAAGAAATTTGAAGCAGCATGTTGGCATGTCAGCAATGTCAGTGACCACTAACGACCATTCATCGACTTCCAGCTTCGAGATATCGACCGCCACTCTTGTTCGTGTTGTTCTTCCCTCTGTCGTATAAATACACAATCAACCTGAATAAAGTCTCCTGTTCTCCAGTGTTGTTATTGAACCTTCCCTAAACCACCACGTTTTAGCTCCGGCCTCTAACAGGTTATGGGCCCAGAGGCGTGGAAGTGAAAGGTCTGTACAAGTGCTTAAGTGTTCCTGAAGTTCTCTCGTGATCTCTTAAGTGCAAAATAGTCAACCATGGCAGGCAACATTCAGCTGCATAAATTGCCAGGCGTGCTTCGGTGTGTACTCATCTGAGTACACGCTAGTTAGAGTGTACTCATGAGCACACTCTAACTAGAGTGTACTCATGAGCACTTTTTAACTAGAGTGTACTGAGTACACAGTTGAGTTTGCAGAGTAATTAGTCCGTAAAATGCAAGCACTTACTCAATGTGGGCGCAAGATATTATTTAGAGCAAATGAACTGCTCGAGTTCATTGATGGAACCACACCTCTTGAGAATGTAGCTGCTGAGTCTGTAGATCTGTGGCACAACTTAGATGCGAAAGCACAGCTGTATATTCTAAACACTATAGTGTTTAGATATAGAGTCACAGATAAGACTGTGAAGCAGCACTTGATGACGTGCACCACAGCAAAAGAAATGTTTGATAAGCTACGCACCATCTATGAGAAAGACTCAGATTATCAGAAGAATCATCTCTTACTAGAATTCTGTGCATATAAATGGACAAAGACTGAGACAGTTCTTGAGAACGTCAGCTCTATTCAGTAAATAGCGTATCAGCTCAACAGTCTAGGTCATGCAATGAATGAAACAGCAGTTATTACTAAACGAGTGTTCTTCCAAAAGAATACGGAGGTCGTGTACTGCCTGGGATTCCATGGCACAGGGCGATGAACACCTTAGGCGTAAAGAAGAACAGGAAGAAGAACATGGCGGCGAAGTGGCGTAGCGTAGTGCCGTCTCACAACAAGCAGAAAGGTGGTGTCGCCAAACCTGTGTCTAACACAAGGAAATCCGTTTTTTTCTTCCTCTCAAATAATCAAACAAAAGTTGGAACAAGCTAGGGCCCGCCCTTCCGTCGAACCGAGTTGCCAGCTCCGCTTCGCTGCGCCGGCAACTCGGTTCGACAGGGGGCCGGCCCAGCTTGGCCTGCCGGCGGCCTTTCCTCGCGCCTTCGGCCCTCGCATCAGACCCAATTTGGCCAGTCGAAGGCCCGGGCCTTCGGCCCGCTCGCATCACACACACCGTGAGCGGGTAAAGCAAAGTTATCGATGTACCATCGTGACCTAGGCCCGCCCTTCTATTCACAATATGCAATAGTCCTTACACTTTTTACTCCAACTGTCCTTAGAATATGCCCATTCCATTTGTCTCTTCGCCCTCATTCCGAAAATACCCATATTTGCCATGCTACTGCAACTCCTTGCAATAGAGGCACAGGAGCGCAAAACGAGTCCGTCGCACTTTTTCCCATAACTCATGAAGGCGGGCTCCTGGACCCCCCTTCCGACCCCTCGTTGAAGAGGTCTTGCCAAGACCTATCCAAAACTTAAGTAAAAATTTTCAGTCGGTCGACCCCCTTTTTTCAAGATTCTGATGTGACTAATAGACGAAGTCGGGCTCCTGGACCCCCTTTCCGACCCCTCGTTGAAAAGATCTTGCTGAGACCAATCGAAATCTGCAATAAATTTTTTTAGTCGGTCGACCCCCTTTTTTGAAGATCCTGATCCGGCCAACTTGTAAAAGCGGCCGATGGGGTCGGGACCAGGTCCATTCATCTTGTCTCGTCGCCCCGATTCCAAAAATACCCCTATGTGCCCTGCTAGCACCAATAATGGCGGAAATCCCCCTCCCGCTCATGTAAACCATGATGCACCTGCAGCAGCCCTTGTGCGACCCGGACGGGATTTGCACCACCGGATTATTTGTTTGGACGGTACTCCTGAAGTACCCTCCAAATCTGGTTACTCTAGCTCAACTCCTTCCTTGTACACAGACGCCAACAACGACAACAACAACAACAACAACAACACACAGACACAAAGGCAAATGCATAGGCCCTCCCCCTATTTTTTGAATAGAAGGGCGGGCCAAAAAGTTTCTCAATCAGAGGAGACGCCTTTTCCCGTATTTCGCGCTGGTTTGAAACGCTGCCTTTCTGCTTGTTGTGAGACGGCACTACGCTACGCCACCTCGCCGCCATGTTCTTCTTCCTGTTCTTCTTTACGCCTAAGGTGTTCAAAAGACCTTCTATGCGCTAGGCTTCAAATTGAAGAAGGCAAGATGGATGCTCAGAAGCAGAGGTCGGACTTTGCTGCAAAGGCTGGGCCTCAGCCGACGCCGGCTGCCAACATGTGCGACAGAGAGCGCGTCGCAGTGCGTCACCGGCGTCGCCTCTGCGACGGTGCTGGCTCTGGCTCGTTTCGTCTGCTAGGCCGGCGACGCTCGACCCTCCCTTCCCCTCTCACCTCCCAGTGCTGTCTCCGGCCACGACAGCCGCCCCGTGGCTGCCCAGCCGACTCTGGCTGGCTGGGCCGGCCCGGGCCAGCCGAACCCCAGGGCAGCGGCTGTAGCCAGCCGAAATCGCTCGAAAGTCCGACCTCTGCTCAGAAGGAAGAAGCTCGACCATCTGCATTCAGTGCTACTCATAACTTCAAGAGCAAAATCATCTGCCAATTGTAAGAAGAAAGGTCACCTAGCAAAAGACTGTCGCTCTAAGACTAAGAAACCCTGTAAATATTACAAGAGAACAAATCATACCGATGATCAGTGCAAACATAGGTTTAAAAAGTTTTGCATTAACTGTAAGAAGTTGAACCATGAGGCCAGTGAGTGTCGCTATGACAGTAGGGTTCTTCAAAGAAGAGGGAGAGAGACAACAGGCACGAGATCAAAATAGAAATGGAGAGGAGGAAACTCAAAGAACTGAAAAAAGTGAGAAGTCAGAATCCAAGGCGTGTCTCATGGCATACAAGGGTTAGTTCGTCAAAATGTGGAAATTTTAAAATCAAAGATATTTAGCTCCATTACCACTTGAACTGACTTCCTATCAGCCAATACCCCTTATGTAACAACAAAGCACCTTCCCCGCTACACCGCTACAGGGGAAATGTGTTCGGTGCGCACGTTTTCTCGAAAAGTAATTGATCTCCAGGTCCAGGTATTCTGTACAGGATACTTGACACATGCATCTAGTTCACACCGTCGCCCTTTTTTGAAAGTGAGTTCCAGTTTTTTGTAAATAAGGCTGAAAA